AAAAATATTAATATTATTAAGGCCACAATATTATTGAAGTATTTGCCTTTGGCCATTCAAATAGAATTAAACCAGAATCCAAGATCTGGTAGCAATCTAGATCTTGATCTGGTATTTGAGACAAGTACCCTATCTCCAAAACTGGGTCAAACTCTGAACCACCCCAAGTTTTGCGGAAATAAAGGCTTTTCTCGTTAATTTCCAGGATATGAAATGAGAGTGGGCAGGAGCGGGGAAATCGCACTTGTATTTATCATCTTAATTTTTTCAATAAAATTCCTCTGCTGGCAGGCAGGTTCTCCTTCATTTGGCGTGTGTTTGAAGGTTCTCAGCCCCTGGGTACGATTCAGCACGCTGTCACCGCGGTGTCAGGGACACGCTTCCCTCCCCAGGGCTCGTTCACATCCATTCATCTCACACATCATTTCTGTCGCTGAGATCTGGGATTCCACATGGGACCTGGCTGCATTGACACAAACGAATTGAAGGAAAGAGCCTTTGATCTCCCAGCTGAAAGGGGAACACGTGCAGCAATAAAACCCCGTGATTGACATGGGCTGGCACTAGCACCTCCGGCAGCAGGAGCACCCTTGTGACAATAGCTTTGCAGCAAACAGTTCACTAAACCAATGTGGATTCTTCTCCAATTTGTTCCTTATTCCCAGATGTCCCTCAATTCTCCTGAGCAATCTCCCTGAATCGTGGTGGTCTGGGCAAATTTGAGAGAAGAGAGACCTGAAGGTACCTGTGTCCGTTGGAGCGTGGGGTGAGGTGAGCCTGTCCCAGCAGATGTGACCATTCTGACAGGGATGAAGTTGAGCTCCACTGTGCTTTCCTGGCAGCCACACAGCTTTCTGGGTCAAAGCTGAAGCCCGTCCAGATATCAAGAGCTCTGGCAGAGCAATTTCATGTCTGCACTCAATACACCCTTTGGACAAACCCCTATCATCAGACAGCCGTGGGGAACACTGCAGTAATTCAATGCCCTTGGATGGATCTCTGTTGTGAAGCAGGAACCTCTTCTATTATAGTTGGAAGACCTGATTCAGCACAAAGCAAGCAATAAATTCAGTTTTCTACTTACACCAGGCATTGAGGGAGACCAAAGCATAACGCTGTCTTTTTGTACAAGTCACATTTCCAATTCAGAACTCCCTCTCTCCAAAAATGCTCTCACATTTGCGTGAACTATGGCTCTGCCCATCAACTGGGCCACCAGAATAGTCGAGGGAGTACCCTGGCCTTTACCATGTGCTGATGGTGCTCGTCTGGGGGGATTTACACCCACGATTTAGGTTGGGGTTGTTCTACACTTACTCTGCAGAACCTGGACCAAAGGTCAGAATGCTGAAACTGGATGAGGTCTCCATGGCTCGGATGACACCCTCTTTGAACTCCCGGGCAGCACACAGGCAGCACAAGATGTTTCATGATCCTTTTTCCCTGCAATCTCCTCACAGAAACCTGCAGCTAAACAATGACAAGACACGTAACGACCATGGCTTGGCTGCGTTTCCTTAAACATAAAGCAATCCAAACATCAAAGCACCAAGCAGCGAGGCTTTGCCAAGGCATCTTTCTAAGAAGAAATGAGTCATTTTTAGCAGCTGGCACATGTGAGTGAGGGAAAGGCAGACCCATAAAGACAGCAAAATTCTGGCACTCTGGAGCTTGTTCAGGCTTTGAATCTTGCCTTTAAAGCCATTCAGAGAAGCTCATTTTGTAACTGGCAGGCGGCGTTGCTCCTGCTGCATCCCCATCATCTTTACTCCTCGACAAAGATGTTCTCAGGGGAAAACAGCATCATTCCCAGCAGAAGCGTTGAGCTCCATCCCTTCTAGACTTTGCAGCTGGCAACTCCTCCGCTGCTGAGTGGAAAAAAAAGCATGCTCCTGCAGAGGATTCTGCTGTGGCAAGTATGCATGGACCATCAAGGGTACAGGCAATAATAAAAACTCAACTTATTGAGGAACTGACCTGAAACGCCACCAGAGAAGGGCATCAGGAATGGACACTGTGTTTCTCCTGTGACCCACTTGGTGGCCTTACCTGGAAGGTGCTCAGATGTGAAGCATCCTCTCTCCTCTGCACCTGGCTGCAGCCTCCCGGAGAGGGTGCTGCAAGAGGCAATAGTCATCTCACTCACACATCTCTGCATCTGGGGAGAAAAAAAATAAAGAAAAAAAAAATCAACCCAACAGAGATCCTAAATAAGAATAACACCAAGGTTAGAGCTGTTAACTCCAGAAAAGGATGCGCACTTCAGAACAAATAAATGAAAAAACCCACATTTGTCACATCTTCCAAATCTTGTGGTTTCTCTTCCTTTAATAAAACCGTGGTTCTCTGCAGACTCTTTACCTTTATTTTCCTTTTGCCAAGAATTCCCTCCGGTCCCTGTGTCCTTTCACCTTTTCATTTTCTATTTCTGCTACGACTGAAGAAACACTGAAGAAAAGCATAGTTTTTCTCTTAACAAAACCTTCTCAAAGCATTGTTTTGATGCACTTTGACAGGTTCTCAGCAAAAATATTTAGACCAAAAAGAAGCAGTCACTGAAGTTTTCCCTGCCAGTAAAAAGGGCATTTCCATTAAAAGAAACACAAAAAACCTTTGATATAAGTTTCTCGGCCAATCTAATCTTGGCCTGAACTGAAAAAAAGGAGTCAATAAATGGAGATGTGGAGGTAATGTTTCTTCCCAGGTCATGTGGAAGCCTTGAGTTAATGAATTAGGGTGAAAGACCCCTCCCAATGAAAATCCAAGACAGTTGGTCCCCTTCTTCTTCATAATCACCACAATAACAACGTTGCAGGTTGATTAGTGCCTTCCCTAATACCAAGATGAATCTTGTTCCCAGGTTTTGTGCTTCCTGAGACCTGGGTGAGCCAAGGGCTTGTTGGACCTCCAAACCTGGAAGATCCCTTGGGAAGAAGCCTGCCCTCCTCTGGCTTCGTTAGCAAGAGGGAAGGGCAGGTGCCAAATTAGCAGGAAGCTGAGCTCACCAGGGTGGGTGCAGGAAAGGGTTACACCATCCTGCTCCAGAAATAAGAGGCATCCAGTCCACTGGAGTTCACTGTTCAACGCCTGCTGCTGGTGCTTGTCTTCCTTTCCCAGTTCACTACCTGAAGCACCTGGGTGAGGAAATATTCCAGAATTTTTCTTACAGTTGAAAAAAAACCCCACAACTAAAGGTCCAGAGGTTTCCTGCTGCTTTTTTAAGACCTCAGGGAGGTGATGCCGCTCAATTTCTGGCTTTCCTCTGAAAGAACCAGCAAGAAAACCCTCTCCCCAGTTTCTTCATAACTGGTGAGCATCAGGCCCTGGCTACAAAGCCTTTCCTGGCTGGAAATCTGCACCGGTGTAATTTAGGGCACACCAGCACATGAAAGTGAACTTGATTTAAGTGAGAGCATCACTTGAAACTGCAATAGCTTTTCTCAATTAACTCTGCATGTAGGAAAGACCTTGAAATGCATTTTGCGCTGCTATATTAAGGCACTATAAAATCCTTTGTGAACCCTATTATTCTGGCTCACTGTAAACCCAATCCCCCAATCTGACATTAATGCAAGGGCTGCGACCGTGACTGAGCGAGGCACCAGCAGCTGAGTTGTGATAACACTGAACCCCCTGCACCACAACACCCTGCCAGCGACTTTGTGCCATTTCTGGGGCTATTTTTTTTCTTCTTTTCTGTGGTAAGGGCTGAGTCCTATGGCACAAAAAGCCAGTCCCCTGCACACCCCCATCCTGGCAGTGCCAGGAGCCCAGCATCCCGCCGTGCACCCTGCAACAGGAGGGGACAACGTGCCACGGGGCGGTCGGGGACACAGGAGTTACGTGCCCTTGTGAATTGAGCTGCTACGGGTCAAAAAGAGCACTACCCAGTCCCCCAGTAAAGCAGGTATTACTGGTCACGGTAGTTGAAGGCAAAATATTTTATGTCACATTAGTGGGTGGCTGGGCCCGTGCACGCGGTTAATTAAAGAGGCTCAGCTAGAGAGCGGTAATTTGCTAAGCTGCATAACTTAATTGCTTGCAATCATCTGCCTATCCCCACACTAAGCTGCTCCCAACATGAAAGAGAAGGCGCTGAACTGTGTCCGTTAAAAAATTATTCTTTAGGGCTAGCGAGGTGCACCTTCTGCGGGCAGATAAGAGCCAGCCATTGCCCTCACGGTTATCATGGGCAGGCAGCTCCACAGCAGCCCTCCCCAGCTCTGCTGCTGACAAACACACGGGGCTATGAGGGGCCCCAAAACTCAAAATTTACCTGCAAATTCAGCCTGGCCACAAAAAGAGCCCCATGAGATGCAGAGATCCCGGCCAGGGAGTGCAGGGAGAGTCCCAGGGCAGCAGCAGGGAGCTGGGGTGGCCTGGTCCCCCTCCTCTGAGAACAAGCTCTGCTGCTGACAAACACACGGGGCTATGAGGGGCCCCAAAACTCAAAATTTACCTGCAAATTCAGCCTGGCCACAAAAAGAGCCCCATGAGATGCAGAGATCCCGGCCAGGGAGTGCAGGGAGAGTCCCAGGGCAGCAGCAGGGAGCTGGGGTGGCCTGGTCCCCCTCCTCTGAGAACAGAGAGAAATCAAAGGCTGAGCCCTGAAAAATTAAAGAACCTTTTCTGCTGTTCATCTCACCAGAGTTCATTCCTGCCATCAGCTACAATCAGTTGGGAGTGACAAAGAGGCTTGTGCCGCACAGAAGGGCCAGTGCCCCTCTGCATCCAGCCACAGCAGCGTCCTGAAGGCACTATGTTTTAACACCCTGAAAACTGGGCTTTAATCCCAAGAAAGATTTTTTTTTTTTTTTTTTTTTTTTTTAAATTCCCTCTAGCGGAGAGAGAGTGGAAATTCAAGCTGCGAGGTTCAGCTCACCCAGAAACCTGCGGCTGAGTTTTGGGGGGCTGTGAGCTCCCACGCTGACCCACGAGGGAAAAAACCACCTGAGTCCACACGGGAACAGAGAAGTGACCAGCTGGAAATTCCTCCATCATTTCATATTATCTGGCACTTTTATTTCAACATAACTGAAAATTTAAAAACAAGCTTTTTGTTCATTAGAAATAAAACTAGGGGTTTATTTGTATTTTTTTCTTCAGTGGCTTTTCATACTGGAAGATGAAAGGTTCCATTCTGCAGTGGCGAGGCTGGCAGGTTTGAGGGGCTCAGAGGATGGTGATGGCCATGAAGGTTCCTCCCCGGCCACCGGCGTGTCCTTGGTGGCAGCCGGGTGAGCACCGTCGCGCTCTCATCAGCGACAGACAAACCAGGACGACTTTATTGCCGATGTAAATCAGAGAAGCTCCGCTGGCTTCCGAGGAACCTTGCAGATTTATGCCAGCAGCTGACCCGGCATCTCTATTTTCAAAACTAGGGCAGATTGAAATATGCTGTTTTTCAATAATATATTCAGGTTAACAGGGCTTTTATATTTGGGCAATTAATCTTGCATAGACTGAGAACCTCTCGGGACAACGTGCAAAGGTTGCTAAGAAGAGGAAAACAAACACAGTTGTGTAACTCAGCTCTCCCGTGTCTTTTCTTTCATGAAAACACATTGCAGTGGTCTGAAACCCAGCAGTAATGTTACTTGGATAATCAGGAGCATACCGAGACATAGCATAGAAATGACTTTACTGAGAGGTAGTGTTACCTCATCTCGTGTTACTGTAAAATGATGGAAACCAGAAATAGTGGGACACAAATCTGTGGTAACGGAGGAAAACCAATATTGTGCTGGAGGAAGTGTTCCCAGTTCATTGCAAGGACAGGGAACTGCTGGAGAGGGGACAGCAAAGGCTACAAAGATGATGAGGGGCCTGGAGCATCTCTCTTATGAGGAGAGGCTGAGGGACTTATTCTGGAGAAGAGAAGGCTGAGGGGGGATCTGATCAACACCTATAAATACTCGAAGGGTGGGTGTCAGGAGGATGGGGCTGGTCTTTTTTCAGTGGTGCCCAGGGACAGGACAAGAGGAAATGGGCACAAACTTGAATATAAGAAGTTCCACCTAAACGTGAGGAGGAGCTTCTTCACTTTGAGGGTGGCAGAGGGGGTTGGACTAGATGATCTCCAGAGGTCCCTTCCAACCCCATGTCATTCTGTGATTCTGTGATTAATATGGGCTGCATCTGTTATTGCGGAGTGGCAATTGCACTGTACAAACACACCACTGCAACAGCAGTGCGTTGATTGATGCTCGCTGGAAATCTGCCCCTTTACACCATTTTTTTCCCTTTCTTTCTCCTCCCCCCAAAATATAATTTCCTTCTGAGCCCAATAAAACAGAAGATCTCATTGGTTCTGTGTTATAACAGTAATAGAGCATTCTGCTAGGAACCAGCAATTCTGCCTCTGGCCATGAAATTCAGGTAATGACCCATAACTGAAGTAAATTAGTGTTTAATTTCCCATCCCTTGCAGACAGCTTACTAATGGAAATTGATTTCTAGCTTTTTTCTTTTTCATTTAACATGCTTGTGTAATGTCTTTATTTTAGATTCAAGTGGTTTCCAGTGAATTTTAGCCCAAAGGCTGGTGTACAGGTGACCGCCGAAACTCCCTGGTGAATCAATGCTGTTAAACGGTGCCCAGGTACCAGCAGGGCAGGGACATCCTCCTGGGCACCATGAGATCCTTCTGTCCTGCACTAACACCCATGGACGTGCTCTGGGACAGATCCCCAGGGAGAGTGAAAAAAAGAAGAGTTCCCATCCATGTACCACGCTCAGAAGTTCAGCAGTTACGGAGCTGATCCCTAATGTACAAGCTCTTGGACAATTACCATGTTTGTTTATACGTGATGCACTTTAATTTATACTTTCACATGCCCAGTGCACTCCCAGCCCCATCAAAAGGTGCTTCCTTGACCCACTGAGCTCCAGGTGAGATGCTCGTCCTCAGACCAAGCCAAGGTGCCCAGAGAAGCTGTGGCTGCCCCATCCCTGGAGGGGTTCAAGGGCAGGTTGGAGGGGGCTTGGAGCAACCTGCTCTGGTGGGAGGTGTCCCTGCCCAGGGTGTCCCTGCCCTTCCAACCCAAACCATTCTCTGATTCTTTGTCACTCTCCTTGGTGCCTGGAGCCTGAAGCCAGTCCTGGCCCCACCACGGCTGCTCAACCACTGCCAAGTCCCCCGTAATTCTCTCTTCTGTTATCTGATCCAGCCACCGGCACACGCACACACCCTTTTTTCTGCTATTTAGGTAAAACTCAGCTGACAATCTCTTCATTGTAGAGCAGCACCAGCGGTAGAGACAGAAGCCTGGCCTTGGATGTCCAACCCTTTTTCTTTGCGAGGGAGAGAAAGGCAGTAAGAGACGGTAAGGTTTTTACAGCTCCTACCCCATTAAGTTACAGCAGCTGTGGAAAAAATAAGGGTTTATAACAGCATCGTGTTATTTTCACCCCTCAGTTACTCCCGCAGTCTATCAGGTTCTCCTGGCAGCCACAAAGGAGTTGGGAGGAGGGAAAAATCTCCTTTTCCCATTTTACTTTTCTGAAGTGCTATGGAGGAACCAGAACTCAGCTGGTGCCGTTTTACACTTTAAAAGCAGGACTAACAGCTATTATATTTTTTTTCTCGGTGTTGGGTAGATTTTCTGGTTCCATAGACACTTTAATAGCGCTATAAATTGTCTGGTAAAGGAATTGTTAGTTAGAGATGGTGTCTGGGGTATTTGTTCCTTATTGATGTGTAAATTGGCTTGTGGTGCTGGCGTGCGTTTCTCAAGATGAATGCTTTGTAGCACGATGATAATAATAACAATTAGCATAGGATATAGCAAAACGTTAATTGTGAATTAAGATCCCAAGCAGTGATGGCTGTGAAGATCAGCCCTCGCCTCGTGCTCCCTGTTTCTCAGAGCTCAGAGTGTTGGGGACGTTTCCCCAGGCGAGGGAATTTCTGTGCCCTCTTCTCTCTTCCAGCATCACTGGGAGCAATTTATCCCCAGTGCGTTTGCTCAGGTGTGTTTGTGTGGAGGCTGAGAGCACAAAACCCACTCGGCTCCTGGCGAGTCCTGTGCATTATCCCTGACGAATGATAATTTGGGTTTCATTCCTTAATGTACCAAAAGGGCAGGTGAACGCAGAGAGGGAAGGCAGGAAGGAGAGCAGCAGTGACAGGGTCAGAGCCCGATGGAGAATAACAGCGGGTGAAGATACGGGAGAGGGAATGAAATGCTGGATATTGTCCTTATCACAGCTGTCTGGAGTGGGAGCATAATGTAGTTATTAAATTAAATGGTCTTGTCTTTTATGCAAGAGGCAGAGCATGAGGAAGTTCAGAAACTACTCCTGTGCCTTGGCTTTACCTGCTTCCAGGGGTGAGAATCCCTCTCTGCCTGCGAGGGCTGCCGGGACGATTAAACGAGGCTTAAAATATGTGGTGAGGGTACTGTCTTGTTACAGACCTCATTGAAAATATAAATCCATGGTGAAAAATTAGAGGAAGTCAGAATGGATGGGGGTTTCTGGCCATGATCTGCCTGGGTTTTCATATTGAGAATGGCATGCAGAGGGGAGATAACGGCTCCGTGGAGACGCACAGCCGCCGTGAGCCCCCATTAAGGTTTGTATCTGTCTGACTGGGGCATCCAGAGGAGGAGAGATAAAAGTTACTGCAGTCTTGTCTTCTAAGAGCATAACCACCTCGGCTGAACCCTGCCACAGGAATGTTGTAAGAAGCCATGAAACAGCAGCGGGGAGCCACTTTGCTGGGGAGATCAAGGGGAAAAATGTAACCATGACAGAAATAATTACCCCTCCTTCAGAGATGGGGCGATGGGCAGAGGGCAGTCAGCAGCAGAACTGAATGCAATATTAAATACTTGCCTTCTGCCTTAGAGACTAAAGCAGAATACGGGCAATTAGAGAAAAAACTTGGAAGATCAAAGTAGGAAAAAATGTCTTTTTAAAGTGATAATCAATTATTGTTTTTAACTTACAGCAGGCAAAAGGCTACTTGAAGCCACCAAGGAAGGATGTGGGCTTATACTGTTGGTTTTACTGTCCTGCCTCATGTTGGAGGCTTCCTTGGATGGTTCATTAATCGAAAAGAAATTCCTGTTTGGTACGAGAAGCTGAAAAAGCCTTCCTGGTGTCCTTCCCGCAAAATATTCCCTGTCGCTTGGACTGTCCTGTACACTGGCATGGGGTAAGTTCTGCATCCCGCTCCCTCTCTCCTCTTGCCCTTCCTGATACGGGGAAGAACAGACATTTCAAACTCTTCCATTTGCTTCTGGGGTATCCCTTGTGCCCACACCAGCCGGGCACGCCGGGCACGCTCATTCCCAGCAGATGAAGTACAGCCTGAGCCAAATTCTGGGCTGGGTCCCTCAGATTCACACCCCGGGCAATGCTTTTGGCCAGGGACACCAGCCCACACTCAGCTCTGGAAAGAGACACTAAAACCAGCCGCTGCCCTGGGGAAACTGTCAGCGTGACACAGGGTTTGGGGCCCCGAGGGACAGGGTCCTGCAAATACCACCCTCCCACAAATCGTTGTGAAACCATCTTAGGTAAAGTGTTTGCACAAGATGCAGAACACTGAGGTGTGTTTCTCTCTTGACAGCTACGCCTCCTACCTGGTGTGGAACGACCTGGGTGGCTGCAGCAGCAAAGCCCTCATCCCCCTTGGCCTCTACGGGGCTCAGCTGGCCTTGAACTGGGCTTGGCCTCCCTTCTTCTTTGGAGCCCGCAACTTGAAGATGGTAACGTATCCCACCACCCACTCCTCTGCTGGAGGCTCATTCGCTGGTCTCCCCACCATGGGTTTTGGGGTCGTTTGGAGGTTTTCTAGCTAGCCTTAGGCAATTGTAAGGGGAGCTGCAAGAAGAGCTTTAGCTCAGATATGGTTCCTGCTCCACCTGGTTCCAGACAATGGTATCAGCCCCTTCCACCCCCCATCCTGCTCCTGCCCTGCCGATAGCAGCCCCACCAGCCCAGGGTGGGAGATGGGGGAGTCCATGGTCCGGCTGCTGCATCTCCCAGTTAAGGATCTGGGGTTAGAGATAAGCCCTTCTGGGAGTCCCACCCAGCACAATTGGCATCCCCTGGGGGGCACAGGAGCCGTGCGAGGCTTATCGAGCAAACACAACGCACCGTGCATGGCAGAGGCTGTCAGGAGAGTGTGCATGAAGGTAAGGCACAGCCGAGCTTGTGAGATATTCAAAAAGTACTTACCTCAGGTGCCGAGGGCCAGGGGGGATGGAGACACAGAGCGGGATTCATATTTCCATCTGAATTTTGTCATTCTGTGGATGAAAGGTACATTTAGAAAGTTTGTTAAGTGATAACAGCCATCTGTAGTAACGTAAGCATGTTCCTGATCCGCCTCCACAGGCGTCATCAGCAGAAGGGGGCACTGATCACCATAAAAACTGTATTAATCTGTGAAACTTGATAATGAACTGAAAAAATCAATATCAGTCTTGGCTCCTGGTGCGCTACATTCAGATCTGACTGATGTGAGTTCGGAGCCAAGGTCCTGAGGTTCAGCATCACTCTAGGTGACTTCCCAGGGCTAAATCTCCCCAGGTCTACCTTTGGAAGGATGGTTTATAGTCATACTGGTGAAGACCTCTGTGTGTTCCCAAACCTGAGCACCACGGTCATTGTCTCCTCTCTGCTCCAGGCGCTGATTGACATCCTGTGCTTGGACGGCCTGGCCATAGGCACGATGTGCTCCTGGTACCCCATTAACAAGGTGGCCGCGCTGCTGATGGTGCCCTACCTGGGCTGGTTGGCCATGGCGACTTGTCTCACCATCCGCATCTGGAAGGACAACCCTGAAGAAAAAACAGGAAAGAGTGAATAAGCGCAGGACGGAAAGGAAGGCATTTTGTGAAACTAAACTATGCTGATGTGAATCAAGATCTCATAATTTGGGGGATTCATTTTTGGGAAAGGCATGAGAACATGCCACATCCGCCTCCTCCTCCCACCTTCATCATGGTTGTGTAAAAGAAAGGTTTGCCCCATGCTCCTTTAAAGAAACCGAGCATCCTTAACCTGGGAACTATTTTCTCCAGCTCTGTTGAGGTTTGGGGGCTACAGCTGTACGGTGATCTTAACGCTATCAGGTCAGATTCCAAAAGCCAAATTAGGATCTCAGGATACCAGGGTAATTCAGAGTGGCAACGCTGGGTACCTCTAGACCTGCCACTGTTCCCCCCAGAGAGCAGAACTTGTTCACACACGTGGTAAATCCCATCTCCTCCTCTGGGACCAAACAAAAATGCCCTTCACTTGTGCACACTGATTTTTAAGAATGTACTTGATTTTTTGCTATTTGTGCCGTTGCTTCATTTTCATGTTTCACCTGGTTTGTGCTTTATACCATTAACTTTTTATCTGTCAGCTCCTGAGCAAGCAGTAATCTGTCTTGTTCTGCTAGTGAAAGGAGACCGGGCACTTTGACTTCTATTTGTGGAGCATCACACTTCTTGAGTTTCATGCTCCAAGATAAAGCAGCAATGATTAGAATGCAAATGCTTCTCCCAGGAGGAAATTTCTCTCCTCCACCTCTGTCTCCTGCTCCTCATTGGAAAAGAAAGCTAACATCAGTGCCTTTGGAAAAAAATACTTTAAATATGGTGGGTTTTTTTAAGTACAGAAGCACAAGAGCCTTCGTAAAATTTAAGAATTGCTCACGCTGCCTTGAAGGTTGTAATTCCATGATTGGCAAAAAGCCCCATGTCGGGTGCAGTGTCTCAGCCCTGAGTCTTTCCATTCCTGACTACCATTAATCAGGAAATGTTAAAATACAGGTAGTTCTAGAGAAACGGGACCAAGCCATGACAGAATCAGACACCAAACAAACATGGACCATTCACCTTGTCCATCTTTCATTCTGGGCATTGTCTTTGATAAATCTGAACCTTAGAAGTTGGTGTCTACAGGAAATACTTACTATTATTTTTTTAATTGCTAGAAGCAGTGTATGTGGAGAAAAGTGGTAGGTGGATCTTCTTCCTGGCAGCTGGCTGTAGATGAAGGTGCCTGGGTAGACTTGCAAAGGGTGGGGGTAGGAGGGCTTAGCTGGGCATGTAAAATAAATTGTGTTTGCTTTTAATAAAAACAAGTCACTTTTGTTTGGAGAATTAATAAACCCAAGTTATTCTTGTTTTACTGGTTTGGCACTAGGTTTGCAGCAGCTCAGGGGATTCTGTCTGGAGTCGGTGGCTTGTGCTCTGGCTCCAAAGGGGAGGGGATCGGCAGCAGGTCTGGGGGGGCTCTGGTGGCCAGACCCGTTCCTGGGAACGTGTTGGGAGTAAAATGGCCTGGGGGGCCTCAAGCCTAAAGGTCCCAAAGGTTCCTTCAGCTGTTGCCCCTGCGCAGCGGGGACCTGCTCGTTTGGAGATGGATTCCCATCACGGGGCCCTCCATTGTGCTTCACCCACAGCTTCAAGAAGTGAATCCTTGGGTTTGGGCTCCTCCCCGAGTCACGTCAAGCCTGATTTTCAGAGATGCTGAAAGTTCCTGGGTCCAGCCCAGGCAGATGGCAGAGCTGGGCGCTCAGCGTGACTGAAAGCCAAGGGAAACAAACACGGGTACCTGAGAGCAGTTGAAATTTGAAGTGCCTTTTTAAAATTTGGTCATATATCTTGTTCTGTCATTTTGATCCCATCCATTATTCCTCCTTTCTAGCTACAGGACACCCTCATACAGGGCTGCTGCTGCAAGTGCATTGCTGTCATCTCCTGAGGAAGAGCTGCATAAGAGCAGGTTTTTGAATAGATGTGGCTGTAACCAGGAGCAGGACTATAAAGCATCAGCGCTGCCAGCAGCACTAGAAAGATCATAAGCTACTTAAAAAAGAAAAATAAATTCTATATATTTCAGGGCTTTGTATAACTGTATGTTACCACTGAGCTTATTTACAGTGATGCCTCGTCTGTGTCTTCCAGAAAGCCACATGCCAAAGGACAGGAAGACATAAATTATTTCTTCCTAAAAAGAAGCTAATATCTGGGCTGGCAATTCAATTCGGTGGAGTTAAGGATGATTTAGAGCATCTGAACATCATTAGGCCTGTCCTTTCCTAGTGAGCACGGCAAAGTCAGCAGGAGCGCGATGAGCAGAGCCATCTAGTGAGGCCAGGAGGGATAAAGAGAGTCTTTACGGGCTTCTGCCAAGGGGAAAATATTATTTAAACAACATTTCAGTTGGCAAGCTGCTGTAGATCTCGTTCAAACCTGCAACATTTTAATAAGTTTTCCAAATATAGATATATGGACACATATTTGATCAGCTTTAATAAATTAGTCCTCCTTCCCCTTCCTACCATTTTTTTCTGCAGGCAACGGAAAATCTGGAATTAACAGATTTTTTTGATCTTTTCATGTTTTCCCTCCCCATTTCCCCAAGCTAACTTGTTCCTACTTTCATTTCAGTTCCTCTTCCTTCCAGTCCTCCTCTAAGTGCACCGATAGCTTTTCCTTGCTCCTTGCATTTTCTTGCAGGCAGCAAAAACCAGCAAACGTTCCTACATGTATTACACATAGTAGCTTGAAATCAATTTTCAAAGTTAAATTCAGCAAAGCACCCTCTTGTATTAATATTTAAAGCATCATTTGGCATATTTGCTATTTAAACAGATACACGAAACCCCCTTGCATAAAAATAACTTTAATGACATTTCAAAGTCAGCCATCTAGAAAAGGGCTTAGTTACATCATGCAGTACAGACCCAAACCAGCGCCTGTGAGTCTGGGGGCGGGGGGGCTGCGGGAGGGGGCTCCTGCCCCGGGTCACACAAGGGCTGGAGGCAGCACATGGATGTGCAGCCCTTGCCCAGAGCCAGCCCTGTGTTATAGAGCAAAGGGAAAAGGAAATAAAGACAAAACAGAGATGTGCTAGGAATCCAAAGCACCATCAGGAACATGGATTGGTAAAATCAGTGACATTTTCCCTCTGAATAAGAAAGGGGATTTGAGGTGCATGAGCTCTCCTTCCTGCTCTCCATCTTCCCAAGGGACACTTTTTCCCAGGGGATCCAGAAGGAGCCCTGGGAAGTTTTGCTTAAGCCAGCACTAGCCAGGCTGGATCACCCTCGTGGGCATGAAGGGTGTTTGTCCATCCCCCCAAAATTAGCTTATGGAATGGATCCCAGGTCCCACCCAGTGTCAGGAACATTCATAACCCACGACGGGACATGTCACGCTCAACATGACTCCAGCAGTGACTCAGACAAAGGCCACGCATTCGTGACAGCTCTCGTGGGGTCGTGGCATTTAGAGAGAAGAGCCACCTCTCAGATCACCATGTCTAATGATGATCCCTCTCCTCAAACTCCAGCCAGTCTTTCCAGAAAGCCGGATTTGATATTAAACTCATCGTTACACTTGATCTTGGCCCAAAGGGCACATCCCCTGGCCGCTGGATACACAATATTTGTGCACAAACAAAATCTTCCTGCCTTTCACTCCAGCCTCTTTGCCTAAGCCTTGTCTCATTCAATAATTTACTAGCTGTTCCAGAAAACACTCTGGCTTCAGTAGTAAGGAACTTTAATTGATTTGCTGATGTCGGGAGCTATGTTAAAGTACAGAGTCAAATGCTGGAGGGGATTTGCTGCCGGGTGTGCACGTAAACTTCAGAGAGCAGACTACGGGCCAGCAGCTCTCCCCACCGCCCCTTCGTTCCCAGAATATAAATTCCTGTGGCTTTGAGCACCTGCAGCACGGCTGGGGCTGACCTTCCCCTTGAACTGCTCCCAGGAAAACCCCAACTGGAAGGGGGTGGTGCTGCTTGGAGCCGTCATGAACTTCCAGATGGGCTTTGAACTCATGGGACACCCCCCCAACAGACCAGACACCTTCCTGGCTCCACATGGCAACGGGTGTGCGAGGGAGAAGACAAGGCAGACAAGGAATATTGCGTCCTATTCCAGGCTCCCCAGTTCAAGAGAGACAGGGAGCTGCTGGAGAGAGTCCAGTAGGGCAACAGAGATGATGGAGGGATTGGAGCATCTCCCTGATGAGGAAAGGCTGAGAGAGCTGGGACTCTTGAGCCTGGAGAAGAGAAGGCTGAAGGGAGACCTTATTCATGCTTATAAGTATCTAAAGGATGGTTTGAGGGAGGATGGAGCTGGACTCTTTTCAGTGGTTCCCAGTGACAGGACGAGGGGCAACGGGCACAAGCTGGACCATGGGAAGTTCCACTCCAATGTGAGGAAGAACTTCTTTGGGGTGAGGGTGGCAGAGCCCTGGCAGAGGCTGCCCAGGGAGGGTGTGGAGTCCCCTTCTCTGGAGATCTTCAAGCCCCACCTGGATGCTCCTGAGCGATGTGCTCTGGGCAACCCTGCTCTGGCAGGCATTGGACAAGTGGAGTTGGACAAGATGATCTCTAGAAGGTTCCTTCCAACTCCAACAACTCCGTGATTCCGTGAAGGCAGGCAAGGAGGCGAGAGCATCACTCTCACCATGACCACGGCTCATGTCAGCTCTGGGGGGGTTTCACAGGAAGCCTCCAGCCCACACCGAGGGACCTGGGCACCCTTCAGGATGAACTCTGCAGCATCCAATACCGGTGTTCCCTGCCCTTTCCTTTAGATCTTGGCATTGTGGTCCCACAGCGGGAGGAGAGGGGCAGGTGAGAGCCCACAGGGGCCCAAGGGAAGGAAATCTGCCTCCGCACATCACTGTCAGAGTGTTTATTTATTTATCACGTAACGGTAGTTACAGCTGGAAAAAAAAAAAAAAAAGCAGGAGGGGGATTGCTGCCAGACAATGTATCTAGGGAGATGTTTTGTTAGTGCCACCAGCTGTCCCCTTGGAATAGAGAGCACGATTGAGCCATGACTCACACAGCCTGTCTCTTATTTCACTCTCCCATCTATCCAAAAATGTTCCTCCAGCCCGAGAATGCAATAAAAGTCTCCTTTTCCTGGCAAGGACTTTTGCAGCCAGGTCTCTTCTCCTGCCCCTTTGTGATCAGGAAACCGTAATAGCATTTTAACTTCAGGGAAATAACTCCTGCTGCAATTAGATGAAGAGCAGACAACCTGCCGGGGAGACAGGTCAAGGGAATGCAGTACTCTCTACGCGAGATATTTATTTAAGATGGGGAAAATGCCACCAGAGATGCCTCTAAATCAGTGGGGAAACTCTTCTGGACTTGGATGGATCCGATACTCCAGTAAAGCCAGGAAGTTTCTCCCAGAACAGGTTATCTTAGCCTTGCCTTGCCAGCAGTCACCTTTGCTGGCAGCGTTCCTGTGCAGACAGGTCCTCAAATCTTACTGTGGGTTTGGGGTCTTTGAGGTCTACCCCTCCCCATCACCTTCATCTGCCTCTGTTCGGGCATTCTGGCCTTGACACCTGACACAGTGAAGCCAGACCTTTTAAAACAGAGGGAGACGGGCCACCAGATGTTGTGGGACACATCTGTCAGGGGATGATGGAGAGCAGGCTCTGGCAGGAAAGCACAGCTTGGGTTTGTGCCACTTGAGATTGAGTCGGCTCAGTGGCTGATCCCGGGGTGCAGGGCTGGGGTTTCCCCCCACAGGAGGTGCTGCTGCTGGGGAGGATTATCTACGGGGGAAGAGTCTGCACCCACCAGCAGCATCAGGAGCACTGGGGATGGGGAGAGGCCACAGGGCTCTGTTGGAAACCAGCATGGTTTGGCCCTTGCCATGGGTAGAGGGATCAGGGAGAGACCATGGGCTGATTCTCATCCTCCCTGCACGAGAGATGCCGTGCAATCAGATCCCTTGTGCCTCTGCACTGGCTGAGCAGGGCTCTCCGAGCAGAAGGAAATTCATAGTCAACTAAATAAACCATGAAATCAGCGGGGAGAGGGGCAGGGTGGAGGGGAGCCTCAATAAAAATGCTGGTTGGCAAGCGCAATGATTTTCATTAACCCAAGTGCCATCGGGAGGCTGAGCCACATCCCTGGCACCTCTGGGCACCCGCACCCCGGCCCCCACTCCCAACGAGCTGACGGAAAAAAATATTTCCATCACGGGCTTCAGTCCCCAGGCCCAAGCACGCACCCGGGTGAACACTGCGGGGGAACCGGGGTCACTCAAAACCAAGCAAACAAAACCCATCAAAGCTTTCATTCCTATGGCTCTAACGCCAAATGTCAGATTGACAGCAGCTCCGTGGCAGCCCTTTATATTTTTGGCGCGGGCAGACGCTGCAGGGGGGTGGATCGGGACTATTTAGTGCACTGCCCTAGATGGAGCTGCGAAGCAGCTGGGGAATAGAGGCAGAGTCTCAGTGCCACATTCCCCAGATTAGATTAGAGCTCAGCCCTGAACCCTGCAGAGGGGCCAGGCCAGTGAAAGCTGGAGGCTGCAGGAAAGATGGGACCCAAGCCTCCAAGAGCTTCCAAAAATAAAGAAAAGTGGGTCAGAGGGACTAAAGAGTGGCTGGAATGCTGCTTTGAAGTATAAGGGTAAGAAGGAAACAAGCTGTCACTCATTAAGAGAGGATTCCCATCCCCAAAAACACTGCCTGAAATGTCAAAGGTGAGAGGAATTGGACAGGGGGGGTGGGAATTGGAGCATAGTTACCATGCGAGAGGAAAAACACTACACCTGCCCGCCAGGAAAGTATTTTAAGCTCAAAAATAAATAAAATTCTGCACCACGAAAATGAAAGATATGTGTTCCACGGATAGGATGTCTTGGAACTTGTCAAATCCTTGATTGCGCTGTTGTCACAATACTCTCCATGCCAGCTGTGTCAGTCATCAAATAAACAACTTCTCATCACTACAAACAGTGTGGGAGGAAGGGGGGTGCTCTGTCCCCGCAACGACTGCATTTCCGTGATGTTCCTAATGAAACGCTACAAAGGATATTGTAGCACAGAAAGTCAGGCTGTTGTTAGCAAGGGGGCTTGAAACAGTAGCCAGAATAAATAATATATTACTATAGATAATTCATTATCTATGAGAATAAATTATTTATTGTCTATGATAGTAAATTATCTGCCCAATGCCATAAATTTCTTTCACTCCATGATACTGCAGACCTCTCTAAAGTCTCTAAAGAGCTGACTCCAACAGTATCACAAAGACTGAGTTTGGCCCAAAAGCAGGTGTTCACACCTATTTGGTTTCTACAGAATACAGTTCATCCTCCTCAGACTAAAAGCAGCTTTTCCACTAAGTACAGACTGAACGCTCAATCAAATAATGCTTAATATTTCATATTTATCTAAATCTTGACGACGGGGGGTTCTGTACTAAGTGCAGAACCCAAGACACCGGAGGCTGGATTTCCGATATGCCTTGGCTAAAACACGAGTTCTGCACAGCTACACATTTTCCATTTACTTCCACCCTCGTGGCACAGCAGGACTAGTCTCAGAAAAATCTTACTCGGGTTTTCATTAGGCTTGGCTCACATGGGATTTATACAAACTCTAAATGATTTAAATTTAGAGTGAGAAATTGGAAGAATTTAACATGATCCTGAAGGCAAAAAAAAAAAAGAAAAAAGAGAGACACACCCTACCCCCAACTCAAACATATAAAACTCTTTTTAGAGCTCATGTGAAAGCCACGTTACCCCCGAGCATCCCTCTAAGTTACCGCAGCCTCTTCAGGAAATCTGCTTGATACAGTGCCCAGCAAAGCAATCATCCCAGCCTCGCCTCAATAAAATCTTTATAGTCCTTCTCATTTCTCTTTGCACGAAGAGGCGGGTTCCACACCCACACTCGCTCAGGCAAATCCCAGTTAAGCACCTCACCAGAATATCTCCAGTGCCCTGTCCTCAGCACGCTGCTGACACACCAGTCCCAGTTATTACTGGAGAACCACACACCCCTCACCTCTCATCACACCCCTGCGGTTCCTCGGCTCCGGTACCATCGCCCCTTCAACATCTGCATTCTCTGCAGCAGCTGAGGTGAAAGACACAAAGAAATACTGCAAGAACCACTAAGCCCAGCAGTTTTCAGCTGCTTACTCTCACCCAGCTCCGTTATCACTCCCAGTATGCTGGGTGCTTTTCAAACATTCAGAAAACAGAAAGGAAAAAATACAGAGCAATGAGCAGATGCTCAGCACACCCATCTGGAATTGCCCTGCACCAGAAACCCTGCCCCACTGGGAATTATAAGGCTGACTTTAAAATATTTGGGAGAAGGTTCGGGTTTGCATTTACACCAGAATGATCTGACACCACCTTCAACAAGGAAGATTTCACCCTGTTCAGCTCCTGGTTTCATTGTCCCCACAGGGACGAGCAGGCTGGAAGGAAAGGCAGGTCTCCTGCTGGGATGTTCCTGGTGGCCCATGAGACCAAATCCACCAACAATAGGGATTTCTCAGCAAATCAAATGGGGGCTGCCCCCTTCCCCTCTTGCCTGAGCCAAAATAGTGGTCCTTCAAGGTCAGCAATGTAATAACCTGGCAAAAGAGGGTGGATGGAGGAGCTGCCAGCTCCATCTTGCCAGCTATCTGTCACCCTAATGGATAAATAGATACTTCTGCTTCCAGGATTTTCCATCCATTGCTTAACCCGCCCACACTGAAGTCGTCACTTACTTTTAAATTAAAAGGGGAGCAAGGGGGATTGTTAAAAAGACCTGGAGAAAGCAAGGGAAGGAGGCGACATCTGAGAGCCCTGGGTCATCCTACCCCATCCAGCCTCTGTCGTCGCTGCTTTGTTCCATATTTAGCTCCTGACAACTGTGCCTACTGCAGGAACCCCCAGCTCTGTTTTTCCCTCCTCTTCCTTAGAGCTCTCAGAAACTGCTCTTTCTTTTTCCCAGTGGCCATAACTTAACAGCCCCACACTCGAGAAGATGGCAGAAAAGCAGGAGGAGCCCAGCAACGCCCAGAACGGTGAACCTGACAACGCAGAAGAGGGTGAGGAGAAAAAGAAGAAGAAGTTGAAGCGGGAAGACCTGCCACCGTTTGAAATTGTGACCGGGTAAGTGGTTTAGATATAAATATGGGAAGTGGGGATGTTCAGAGGTCTCTCTCTCAGCTCTTATGTTGGGCAATTAAATACGGCACCTTCAGCCAGGGTACTTGTGAGTGCTCCTAAATAATGTAAGCGTGGCTTTCATCATTGTGGGCTTTTGTAAAGTTTCACCGAGTTTTACAGAGGACAGGTTCACAGCAGGCAGGCAGACAAATCTGTTTGTTTTACACAAGAAGGTCTGTTTCTACAGCGCTGACTGATTCCTCACAGTGCAAGCAGTCCCAGTGACTGCAATGGATCACTTGCCTGATGATACCGGGATGGAAGGTATTGGCCCTTGATGAGCACTGAATATTGATTTCTTGGTGTGATCAATGGCTCTTGTCTGAAAGTTTCTCTATCTGTGGATTAGGAAAAATACCCTGCTATGGCTGATTTGCTTTATGGACCTAAAGGAATAGGTTTTTCAAGAGAGCTAAAAGTCCACATTTTCAAGGGCTCCACACCCACAGCTGGAAACCGACTTTCAAAAAGCCCAACTGGCAGAAAGGCACCAAAACAATAGGCAGTTTTCAAGACAGCAAAGCAGCAGCAGCTCCTTTTGCTCCAGTGAGCCTGGCCTTTGAAAAAGGCAGATATAACAGAGATCTACAAGGAAGCTGAGCTCTGTCAGACATAATTGACAGCTACAACTAGAAAAAAAACCCAAACCCATCTAATCTAATCTGCTATCTCTAAGCATTTCAAAATGCTCATTGTAGTAGCAGCAAGATGCCAAGGCAGTGTTCCTAGCACGTAAACCAAACCCACAATTTCTTCCAGCTGCTTGAACGTAAAGCTCAAACCAGACTCTAAAATCCTGACGTGGTCACTGGTAAGAAAGATTTTTAAAATTTGAAAAGCGATTGGCTGGCATTTCTGAAAACAACACGTGAGGCAGGACAGCACCTGTGTCTGATCTCACGCAATTGGGTTACATTCCTCCACAGGGCTGAAAAAAAACACATTTTCTTCATAATATGTGTCTGCTCTGACAAATCCCTTGTGGGGTGGGGCTGTTCACAGCCTTTGGTCTCTGTCAAACACAATCATAGCAGTAACACACGGCTACTAGAGCTGGGACTTCCCTCCCCTCGGAAGGGAGCTAAGACACCAAAAATTGTTTATCTCAGCCACTGGACCAATGACATGTGTGATAACGACTTCTAGACACTTAAGACGTACTAAAATGAATCTCCACGAGGAAATCAGATTTTTCAGCCTTAGAGCACTCACCTCGCAATTAGAAATGCTGAGGAATTGGGCAGTGTCTTCAAACTCCTGTGCTAACCCCAACAGGGCTCAGGGATGCAGGAATCACGGATGCAAAATACTTTCTTGGTGTCATCCTGCAATGAAATTATTTGTTGAAATGATAAGGGTGTTGCAGGATTTGACAGGATTTTCCATTCTGGAAAGGCGGCAGCAAGAATGCGAGGGATGACGTGTCGTTAGGATTGAGGCATTTAGAAAACCCCTAAAATGATGATCTTCAGAGGAGGAGGAGAAGAATGGAGATTTCAGTTTTTACCTTCCCATACACCACAAGTGAGCTGTGTGGCCTTTTCACTGGATGATCTTTAAGGTCCCTTCCAGCTCTAACCATTCCCTGATTCTAGGACACGAGCAGGAAAAGGGGTAAGACCAGGACCCCTAAACCCAGGGAGGAGCAGGCTCTGCTGGGACTCAGCAGGCAGAGCCGGGGTGAGAGCAGAGTGATGGAAGGAAGCTCCAGGTAACGCTTTTCTAGGGATGAGTTAAAATCTGCAGTATGGCTTCTAGGTACATTAAGCTGGTACCAGCTGAGTTTCACATTCTATCCCCTGACACCAAGAGGTTTAAGTTTCTGAAATGACATTACTCAGACAGCGAGGGCCCCCAGAGCTGTCAGTATGTATTTATACCCCCCTCATCACAATACCATTTGGAAAGTGCTTATAAATATCTGGTGAATTCCCACAGGAATCATGACCACGTCTCCTCTGATTATTAGTTTATTACTAATATACTGGCCCTTAAAGGTGAGACTGAGGAAGTAAAGCAAAAATCCTAAAGGACTCTGACAGGTACAGAAAAATCCAGCAATTTTTACTTTCATTTTAAGAAATACGCTGTCAGTTTAAACTGTGCCTCCACCTGGTTCGATCTCTGGATTTCTCTAATTATTTACAAATTTTCAGCCAATAAAGCCAGTTATGTGAATTACGAGAAAAGACATAACTGCAACTGTGGAAGCACTTAAATTCAATTACACTGCATTTCAGTTTTAGCCCTTGGATTAGGGGCATCTTATGACACACAGCCAAGTTTCCAAGCTGTTGCTTATAGCTCTAAGGAGCCTGGCTTACAAGAAAAACACTGAGAACATAATCACACTGTTTAAGAATATTAACCCCTTTTTTGTCAACATTTGGCTCAACAGAGTCTTGGATAAATATAAGCCCCATCTGTGTACGTTTCCTGACACTTAAGTAGACGCATTTATTTACGCTTTCCCCCGATGCAAATGGAGCAGTGATAAATCCTTGGCTCCTGTTTCTGTTATCGGTACAGCCTTTCTATAATCAATGAGCCCAGCATGAACGTGTTTATTTGTGAAGTGTTTTCAAAGAACAAGCAAAAGGGCACTGTTTTATTGGCTCAGCTAACATAAGACCATAGTATAAATAGTCATTGAACAAATATTTAAATGTAAAGGGTATGCCCTAGTAGTTGTCCTAGTCCCCAGCCCCCCTTATCTCAGCAAGCTTAAGAGCGTATTTGCTGTTCAGCCCAGGACTGTTCTTACACACCAAGGTTTCTGCCTCGAAATTTCAGTCTTTTTCATCTCAATATGATCCAAGAGACAACAGAACACTTTGCTGCCCAGAGCAAACACCTAAATAAATCAGATTCGAGGTATTTAGAAAATCCCTAAAGGCCAATATTTAATGCTCATCTTCAGAGAAGTGGGAGAATTTGAAGATTTTAACTTTTACCTCCCCATACACCACAACCAAGCTGTGTGACCACCTGCATCCTATTCTCGGAGCAGGGAATTAAGAGCATTTGTGACAGTTCAGTGCCTGAGAATGATTTTTAAAAGAACTAAATACATAAAACTTACGTGCAAGTCTTACACTGAAGAGTATGGCTTTACCGGAAAGGGAAATGGCAGGAAAACTTCACTAATTGCAAGAAAAAACAAAAGCAGAAAAGCAATTACCCTAGTCGCTGAAATATCTGATATCTGTGTAATTTTATAGATTGCAAAGTCATGTGCAAGACAACACAATTTTTATGTTTAGCACTTAAAGCAGTACAGCTTCCAGTGTAAAAAAAATGTGAGATTGGAACTCACATCTCCTAGGCACGTTTTGTAATCATTAATGTTGGAACAACAACAAAAAAAATGGGTAAAATAGAGATAATATTACCATTTGTACACCGTCTGTCATTGAAATACAGGAAAATAGGATTGCCAAGAACTGGTCACTTAATAAAAAAGAGCCGTTTTGTAATCATTAATGTTGGAACAACAAAAAGAGATAATACCATTTGTACACCGCCTGTCATTGCAACACAGGAAAATAGTATTGCCAAGAACTGGTCACTTAATAAGAAAGAGTCTACTCAAAGCTAGACTTGAGTTTCCAAAGAAGTTGGCTTTGTTGTTGTATTTCAGGGGCGCATTTTGAAGCTCAAGTGTTTTCAGAGATTTTTTAATCTGCCCAAATAAACAATACAATCACTTTGCAGTAGTTATGAGGGCCATCGGCTGAGGATGCTGTAACTCACAGGTGAGATTTTGCAGCATCGGGCATTTCAGTACGTACACAGTCTGACAGCACACGTGGGCCGTTCTTGCCCATTCTTTCACCACTGAATCACTCACTACGGGGTTTTCCAGTTCCTCCCAGGACTGGAGACTCCTTGCCTAAATCCCCACTGCTGGGAAGAGTCATGCAGCAAGGACTCAGCGAAGCCCTGTCAGGACAGAAGTTTACAGTCCACACTTGTGCTGAAACGTCCTCCCTGCCCTGGTTTGCCTGGGATTAAGCAGATTCTCACTAACTGGCACACACAGCTCAGCGGTTGCCTACGTATCCATGACCAGCAAATTTTTTCCAAGCTCTCAGCCAACTACTTACAGACTTGGAAAATGCCCTTAGCTTTGTTTATGTCTTTATCGGAAACTTATTAATTAAGTTGACGCACATTCCACGCTGCTAGAAGGGCAGATTTAGGTGAACATCCCAGATAATCTTAGAGAGACGCCGAGATGATAAGCAATAAAATCCGTCTAGAAGCCTGAATAAATACACCTCTGAGGGGATACATCCTGAACAGATCACGGCAGCTCATCCAGACACGCAGAGCCCATCTCAGCACCCATGTAGCTGCTTCACAGTCAAGAGTCTTAAATCAGGAACAAGCTTCTATGTGACTCTGATGTGCCACGTTTAAATACACAATGGTGCTGTTTTTAAAACAACTTATTGTAGTCCTACAAACTTAGCTCTGAAACACAGCAATGGGCAGCTTACGTCAGACCCAACATAGCTGGACTTTAAAGAAATCTTTAATTAAAGAATCATTAAGACATTAGCCAAAGAACCTTTCATTACATTGGATATAAAGCAGGAAAAGCACTATTCTCAGAAGGATGTGGGTGTTTTTTGCCTCAAGGAACAAGAGAAAGGAGTTTGTTGATTAAGAGGCATTGTGCTAAATTAGAAACTGATAACGATCTTTAATAAAATCAGTAGAAGTCTTGCAACTCATCTTAAAGAAACCAAGACTCCCTGTAACAGGTAACTTTCAGTCATCTAACGTAAGGGAGGTCAAAATGCCAAGAAAAGGATGTTAAAGTAGTCTCTCCAGGTCGCTTAGAAATTGTGCAAGCCAGCACAAGCTTCCCTTGTCCAGGCTTGTGCAAACTCTCAGTGCAAACCAGAGAACCGCAAACCAGAGAACCACAAACCAAATCATACCAAAGCAGCAGGATTTATTTGCTCATTAATCAAACTAAAAGTCTGTATCCCACACTACTGCTTCTCATCCCCCATTAATACACTGCTGGCTGAAACAGTAATAGTGCAGAAAGCTCCCAAGGCTTTTCTATTGTTTAAGCCCCATCTTGCACAGATCTCATCTAAGCAGAATTGAACAATGTAAGGCTTTAATTATGTCGTTTAAGAAGCAGCTGAAAACCCCCTTCTATAAAATTTCTAAAGCCAAACCTGTACTTAAACTTCCACTCTCACGAATCAATGATACGTGAAAAGAATTACGGTGGTCCTTGCCTGACAGCAACAGTAGATATTCCCAGTGTAGATGCAATTTTATGAACAAAACTGCTTCGACTCGTACATCTTGTTGCATTTGGAAGAGTAATGATCTTCCTCTCGCAGCACAAAGTACAACTGTGCCAGCCCAACCGCATCGACTCTCACACCATTTGGCTGGAACAGGACACTGATATTCCAAGCGAAGCTCTTCATCTGTAAAATCACACTGGTGGGAAATCCAAAACAGAAGCGGGAACTATAACTCCAGGCCTTTTACTGCAAATCTGTGTAACAGGGCCACACGGATCTGAAATACTACTGGAGTATCATAAAAAGATTAAATAGAGAGGGTGTTCTTCTGTGTTTTAATTTTCTCAAAACCCAGAAATGCCACAGGACTTTGGCAGCAAGAAAATTCCTGGCTGTGGTAAGAGAAGTATGGAATATACACACACTGAAGAGAAACTTCTGAAACTTTGTAAGTGGAATTAAATATTAATGGAAAATTGTATTTAAACTTTAAAAATAACACCACCAGAGATGCTTGGCAACAGCTATAATTTACTCTGAGCTACATATTTAGACAGCACACTATTTCCAATTCTTTTCTAAGCAAAAAGCCATTTGCTTGCAGCAGGAAATGTAGCACTTGCAGCCAGGTATTACACGCAGAACTAAGTGCCTGTTCACTCATCTTTCTGCTCAGCCATTCCCATTTCAGCCCCTCTCACTTGCACAGAATATGATGCTATTTGGGGCTTTTGATGGGGTCCTAGCTTTATCCATCAGGCTCTATAGAAAGACATCCACTAATTCTAAAAGGCATCGGATCCAGGTCTCCATGAACAGCCCTCCCTCCTGACCTGCCACCACCCCACACCAGCATTTCCCACCAGCAAACTCCCAGCACGTCCAGGCACCCTTCCCACATCACTAAGCCAGTGTAACATCCCAATTTTGATTCTCTCCACTCTTTTCCATACCATTCACTTCCCCTGTCTCTGGAGACATCCTGCGAGATGCTGCATCACAAACTGTTCTTTCCTCCCAGCAGCATGATGCTTCGCCGCTCTCTCCTGCAGCCTCGTTGCTCTCCCCAATTAAAATTTCCAAGAGTCTGAGCATCTCTCCTGACCTTTGCTCAGTGAACCCCCCGGAGGGGGCTGACATTATAATCTGACTATAGATGAGACAGGGATGAATAAGACACTTACTGTTTTACAAAGATTCATTATTGCCTCGCTGGGAATATCAAGGTTATAGGTCCACCTAAAGCTCAGAGGAGAGGAGTACAACACGCCAGAAGATTACTGGTGTGTAATAAATGAAATGTTGTGTTACTACGTTTCATTATTTCACTCTGGCTCCTCTGTGCAGCCTTCACTCCCATCCTTTGTAGCGTTTAGCAGGTCACAAGGCATGTTGACAGCAGTATCTTTTCCATCATTCCACCTAAGATCCTTCAAGTAGTTCTTGCCTTGATGTAGGTACTCTGCAGCAGATGCTACAGGGAGCCATGGGGAAACCTCCTGACTCCATCAGAAAGGACCAGGCACTATGAGACGAAGCAGTTTTTCTTTTTCACCTCTTCAGTCAGCAACACATAAAAGCTACACACAGTATTTAAAGGGACTCATTTAAACTTCCCTAAATACCAGCTGACTACCTCGTTCGGGTGAGAGAGGGCTGCAAACACGTTACTCACCACCATGACTCACTTTGGGTTATGCTCATTTAGAAGCCCAGAATGGAAAAGATACAGAGCAAATTAGAAAAAGGACCTGAAGTTTATCAGTAGCATCCCTGAGACAGCTATCAAACCTCATTGGGAAATATGCTTTATAATAGCAAAGCTAGATTTATCTCAGATATTTTATTAAACCAAAGTCACAACATAGTCCTACTGAATATTAGTATTCAGCTTTGGCTGGGAGAGAAAAACTAGAACATGTCAAAACTGCGACTAGTCAGTCCCGCCTGCCTCGACTCAGGAAATCCAGCCTGCAAAAGTAGTAAAATATTAATTAGCAATGCCAGAGTTATCATCCTCATAATTTAGGACAACAGATCCCACAGATTAACTTTGCAACATCACCTGAAAAAACTGTTAATGGCCTAGAAAAGAGTACAACAGTTCAGTCTCCAGGTGCATTAAGAGTGGGAAAATGCCAATTGCTGCCCCTCCTTACCTACAATAAACATCAGTCTCAAGAAATACATTACAGAAACAAGTTGCTCTTCAAATATCTCAATGGAGATACCAGAAATTCCCAGCATAAGTTTGTTATAATTAAGTGAAAAAGACCACGTAGTGAGAATGAGCCTGGGAGTCTCACCACACTGCAGAACTAGCAGAATTTCTTATAATTTTTAATCTATTTTTATCGTCCTATTGAAAGGCATCTCCTTTAATATAAGGAGAAACACAGCCATCCGTAGATGCAGCGACTTGTCCAAGATCACACACAGGAAGTAAATATATATATATATATAGATCTTTATTATCTGCCTCTGAGATGCCTCTCTTCTCTCCACTCTCTATAGGGAGCGCCTCCCAGCCATATTTTTCAAATTCCAGTTCAGGAACGTGGAATACAGCTCAGGCAGGAACAAAACCTTCCTGTGTTACGTTCTCGAGACCCAAGGCAAAGAGTCAGTGACTTCTCGGGGTTACCTGGAAGACGAGCACGCGGCCGCCCATGCAGAAATGGCTTTTTTCAACACAATTTTACCAAAGTGTGAATCGAGCCTCCGCTACAACGTCACCTGGTACGTCTCCTCCAGCCCCTGCGTGACCTGCGCGGATCGGATCACCGAGACCCTCAAGAAGAACAAGAACCTGCGGCTGACAATCATGGTGGGGCGGCTCTTCATGTGGGAAGAGCCAGAAATGCAGGCTGCCCTGAAAAATATGAAGTCAGCTGGCTGCAAGCTGAGGATTATGAAGCCTCAAGACTTTGAGTATGTCTGGCAGAACTTTGTGGAGCAGGAGGAAGGGGAGGAAGCAAAGGCTTTCGTGCCGTGGGAGGACATTCAAGAGAACTTCCAGTATTATGAGGAAAAGCTGGCTGAGATTTTGCACTGAAGCTCACGTGAGTCAGGATTTCCAGTTGATCGCTCATTTCCTTCTACTAATATTAGACTCCTCTTTTTAATTCAGGTTGTTAAAGGTGTAACCCAGAGCCAGTGTCATTTCCTGTTACTCTCACATGTACCTGTCTGGGTTTTCCTGTACCTGAATATTGAAAATAATCCCAGGCAGAACCTCACTGCTCCCAGGATAGCAGTACTGCAGTGGGTTCCTCCACCACAGACACCTAACAGATTTAGAGCCTTTTTTCCTCTGTCCTCAGAGTAAACACCTCCAGGACTAAAGAACAAAAAGGTACTGGACTCACTAGGTACAACAAGAATGCCTCATTGTTCCCCATGTGCATAATATTCAGGATACACGTGGAAACAGGGAGAGGAATGTAGAGAAAAGGGGATTTCCTCCACCCCCCCAAAGTCCAGCCCTAGGGAAAAAAAAAACCCAAAACCAACCAGTAAATTAAATGAGTAATATCATTGCAGGATTCCCTTGTTGTTTTTTTTTTAGGGGTACTCAAGAGTCACTATTTAAGCCATAAAACACGAAAGCATTTAAAGCTTCTAACACATCTCTTTTTGCTACCCCAGGACCAAGGCAGAAAATGTCCATGGAGAGCTGTGACACTCAGGACACCTGGGACACTCCTGCTTTCCGAAGCTTTGATTCCAGCAGGATGGAGCATCAACTTCTGGAAGACTCGGCCCTGATGGACTACAAATACATATATACAACACAGATCTGTGGTGTTTGGGATTGTTTTGGTTTATTTTGTTCCTTCCTTCCTGCCCCAAACAAACCCATGTTGCCTCTGCTGATAGGAAAAGACAAGGCAAGGTAGAGCATGGTTAAAGCCTTGAGTGAGATGGATTGCAGGTGACCTACAGGAAAGGCCTCAAATACTGGGACAATTTAATGAGAAAAGACCTTAGAACAAAGCTGGCAATTAGATAAATAAATTTAGAAAGTACATACTTCATAAAAGTTAAAAAGAAAGGGATTTAAAATTAAAAAAAAAGGGTTTTTTCCTCTGTCCTCAATAACCAGAGGTGTGATTTAAATTAGGGCTATTCTATTCTAAATTACTGATGGAACCCCAAGTACTTGATTTCAAATATGTTCTCCTCTCGTTCAATGATGTTTGTGATATAAAACTGAGAAAAGCAAAAGCAAAATAAAATTGGAAGTCACTGCAAAAACCAATAGCACTGTTTATTCCCTCTTCTCTATTTGCAAGAGGTCCTAAATCTAATCTGACAAGTAAGACATCCTGGGACAGCCACATATGAAATATTTTGTAGCCGAAGAGCAGCGTGATGAGAAAGGAGAATTACTCGATGCCAAAAAAATTTCAAGAGTACATACAAGTGTTAGAGACAGGGAGAATGGGCATATCACTTTCCATATAAAACAAAGCACAGACCAAACAAGGCTCACGGGGACCCTCATCAGCTAAAGAACCGAGACAGATAAGGTTCATTCTTCTGATCAGTTCTTCACCTTGGTTTCTCCTGCACCATCACAAGCTGGACCAGCGTTAGACACACACACATCAACCCCTGACTGCACCCATCTCTTACCTCTGTCACCTGCACTCAATTCTGGCATAAATTTTCCAGGCAGAAAAAACAAGCGACAGTGAGAACACCTTTGTGGAGCCACTGTGGATTTCATCTCTTTGCCACTAGATTTAAAAAACAAACATAAATAAGAATAAGGACTAAATCAATGAAGAGTCTTGATGCCCGCTCTCCATCAGCTCAATACTCCAAATTCCTATTTGTCTTACCGAGTTTATTTTTTTTTTCCAGTTGTGTATTTAGCTACAGAAAAAATCCACCAAAACCAAGTTTACAAAGTATGGTGAACAAACAGGGAAAGTAATAATATGAAGCTCTTAAAGACACAAACAGGCTTGGCAGATCTGCATGGGCAAAGGAATCACACAATAAAGATTAATCCACAACGCTAAGAACAGAAAACACTTCACCCATTCAATCCACAGTGAAAAACAATTAGGAACCATATGTTATACTACAATTTTCTCAACTGTTATATCCCATCTTTTAGGGTTATTCAACCCATCTGGCATTTTTCCGAGCGTTCAGTATGAGACAAGGCAAAAAGATTTGTTATTTTGAGAGGCTGGGGAAAAGCAAACATAAAGGAAGGGCAGAATATATGAGAGTTCTTCAGTACCAGAACCAAGCTTTCAAAAATCAAGTGTTTACCAACAATCTGATGAACCAAGCCTGTTAGTGATTTGCTTTTGCTATTGATCACATCAAACACCAACCTACATGCAAGAGCTCAACTACAAACGCAGTAAAAAAAGAACTAGGAAAAACAAACCTTAAACTCCATACTGCAACATTTTACAGCACATCGGTCATTCACGTGTGGATTCCCAGAAAGCCAAGTTCTGCAGACTATACCCCTTACACAGTATGAAATGCACCCACAAGGTGTCTTCACACATCTCCAGCCCCCCCTTCAAACCCCACAGTTCCTCTACAATAAAGCCACGACAGACACAGGAGGGTTTTTCAGAAGGAAGGTGCTGTGATCTGACAGCAAAGCACTGAAGAGCTATTTATTTAGTGTTGACAGCATGATTCTTAGGGAGTACAATCTCATAATAAAACACTGTGTTTGTGGCCAGAACGTAGAAATTACATTTTTAATCCTGTAACAAACAAAGGAAACTGTATGCCAGATAGAACATTGCAAAACTTTAAAAAAAAAAAAAAAAAAGGTGACAGGGCTCCACAGCTCATCGTTACCAACCGAAACTACAAACCAACAAATACCTCAGCAGAGACAGCTCCGGTTTCAGTCTGCACAGGCACTGCCAGCTCCAAGCAGAAGCCCGAGCGAAGGCAAGAGCTCTGTGGAGGACCAGTGACATCTGGTGGCTTGCTGGGACAGACTGGATGCAAAAATTTAAAAAAAAAAAAAAAAAAAGGTGACAGGGCTCCACAGCTCATCGTTACCAACCGAAACTACAAACCAACAAATACCTCAGCAGAGACAGCTCCGGTTTCAGTCTGCACAGGCACTGCCAGCTCCAAGCAGAAGCCCGAGCGAAGGCAAGAGCTCTGTGGAGGACCAGTGACATCTGGTGGCTTGCTGGGACAGACTGGAAATCCCCCGAGGGTCACCACACCACCTTCTCCACAGGCTCCCTGAACACAACATCCCAAATCAGCTGCTCTGGAGCTTTTTTTTTTTTGTTGTTGGTAAAGCCACTGCCAACAAAAGAGTGAGCGACGCTCAGGTGCAGGATGTGCTGAGCATGCAGTTTCCCCTCATCAGTTAACGGGTCTCCACTCCTGAAAGCGGGGAAAAAGGGGCTCTCTTTGATCTCCTTTGCTCACAGACTGTAAACTGTGATCTTTATATCTGTGTCTTCAAACACTTGGTCAAGTATTGCTGAAACTTTATTCCAATCCAGGCCGTCAAGTCCACACCCAATCCTGGAAAAAAAGACACCAAAAGAGCTGTAATGGCCTCTTCTGGAGCACACTAGGAACAATTAGCTCTTCACGCAGCTACAATTTTACATGGCACTAACTCAGCTCACCATAAATCAACGTAATGCAGTTAGAGTAAGGAAAACAACCAAGTCGGTATGTTTTGTTATCATTTAAGCACATCAGGAAATACAAATTTCATTTGCACAGCAGAAAAGAGAAGTAGATACTTGAACTCTTCTTTCACGGCAGGGGATCATCTCTCAAACATCCTTCTATGCAAGGAACACCGAAGCATTTACACCGCAGTAATTAATTTTCTTACCTAGGCATGGAAATGTCAGTAACCCCATTGTTCAGACAGTGGGCTCTCATGGCTTCTAAGCTCTGTCGCATACTGTCGTACGTCGGCTTGTGAGAAACTTTCTGCTTCGTAATCTAAGTGCAAATGTAAAAGGTCAGTTGTGCCTTTAGCATGATCACTGCAAGATTTTCCTTCTAAAAGCCCCATTTCACTACATTCAAACTCCACTCTCAGACTTGCTACTGTGAAGGGAAAGAGACTTGGAAAAAGAACTGCATTTCACAGCTTAAAACAGTGCAATTTGGCAGGTAGTTCTGTCAATTTAAATTATATATACATACACGAGAGCGTGGCTTCTCCTCAACTAGCAAGATTTGAGTAATACCAGTCACACTTCTTACTTAGAAGAAACTCAAAACCCCCACAGCTATTAAAGTCCTCGTCATCAAATCTAACAGAGTTTAGGTAGAAGAAAATGCCTGAGTAACGTCCCCCTCTTACCAGGTAGTAAATGTATCGGTCATCTCTCTGGAGAACTGCCACCTCCCCAGTCTTCTTTTCTAAAGTGAAGAAATTAAGAAGGTATTTTTACCCTCCACTACGTGATTCCCCCTACACCCCAGGTAGCTTGGAATACCCTTACTGCTACAAATCAAGGTTTCCCCTGCAGCTCCTGCATGCCCACCCCACAGGTATCACTCACGTTGATCCAACAGCTCTTGAACGCCGCCAAACTTTTTCTTAAAAAGAACAGCTATGCCTGCACCCATGCGACAGTCCTCGCTGATGCAATGAGCCAACGCGTCCGTCGCGGGGCAGGAGAAAAGGTCTCCCTTAACATATTTGATCTAGAAAACACCACAAAAAGAAGGGTAAATAAAAGGAAGCTGAGTGCTGACTCAGATCAGGGACTGCTCAGGTAACGGGGAATCTGGCAGGTCTGGGCAGTGAAGGGTAAGGCACCGAGTTTAAGATGCAGTTCACAAGCAAATGAGTTGCTGTGAATTATGGACCCAACATATAGACAACTATCTCTTCTGCAACATCAGTTATAAGTATCAGATGCCAGCTCAGCAATTAATTTTCCAAACAAAATTCTTAAACTCAAAAATTCTGTAACAGAGAACCCAGCTGGGTTGGTGCACACCTTGAGCACACAATCAGTGTGTCGGTGCTGGGTAAGACAATACTCCATTAAGCTCTGTGCTATTGTACACTATCTGCATCACTGACGTAAGCATAAAAGCACAAGGAATTTAGCAGTTTCAGCCACTTTACTCCAAAAAGCTACATGGCACAGCCAGTTGCCGCATTATTTGGGGGACAGGGAAGTCTTTTTACAGAGACACACATCACAGCAGTAGCCCAGGTAACCCAGTTTCTACGCACTCTCTCCTCCTGATCCTTGGAGAAGTGGGTGGCCATGGTAACATGGGCTACAGTGAAGACTCCTCCAGCTAGAAACACGACAGAGAAAAACACAGAGTTATTATGGACCCCAAACCAGGCAATAAGCTGGTATGCCACAGGGTACAAGGCTGAGCCTACTTCATCTATGGGATGAAGACTCCCCTTAAACATCAAGACACCCCTTAAAATAGAAAAGGAAGAGGCCAGTAGCTCCGAACAGTGAAGTGCAAGCTCTCCCGCTCCAGCCCCACAACTCCAGCCCGTGAAGCTCAAGGGGACACCAGCACAGGGTCACCACACAACTAGCACCTAGAGGCCTTCCATCCTCCTCCGAGCCACCCCTGCCCCTTGAGGAAACCCTTCAGCAGGCCACACCCGCGGGGACGGCGTGAAGAAGGACCCGCCGAACCGAGGCTTGAGCCACAAAGCACCTCCCCAGCGCTCCCCACATCGGCCACCCCAGCCCTCCTTCCGCTCCGGCACAGCGGCCTCAGTGCCACGCCAAAATGGCGGCGGCCGCCCGCCTCTCTAGGCAGCCTGGCGGACTGCCCTCTCTATGGTACTCGCCCAGAACTTTCCGCAGCCCGGCCTCCCGGCGCACGCGCACGGCGCTCAGAGGCGGTGCCGAGGGAGGGGGCGGAGCCTCAGCCGGCGCTTGCGCGTTACTGGCCGCGGCGACCCTCAGCGGCGCGCGCACCGCCCGGGGCGCAGGCGCAGTAGGCGCGGGTGGGCGGGGCGCAGAGGGGGCGGAGCCCGGCTCTAAGGGCCCGCGCCGAGGGAGGGGGCGGGGCCACGCGGGGCGCGGCACCGCCCTGCGCCTGCGCCGCCCGCGCCCGCCCCCTCCCTTCGCCTTTGTTCGGGGTTGGGCGCCATTTTGCGCGGCGGCTGAGTGGAGGCGCTGATTGGGTTTCGGGGGCCGGTGGCGGAGCCAATCAGCGCGGGACCCGAACCGGGGGAGCGAGGCACGGTGAGCGCGAGCAGCCAATATGGAGCCCCCGAGCGCCGGCCCCAGCGCCGGGATTGGCGGGGCCGAGTGACCAGTCAGGAGGCCGCTCGCAGGGCCGGGGCCGGCCGGGGCCGGGGGAGGCGAGGGGACGGGGCGACGGGGCCCGGCTCCGCCGGGGGTGGTGGTGGGGACCCATGGGGCTGCTGTGAGGAGAGGGCCTGGCCCGGGATGCGGGAGATGGCGGGGCGGCGGTAGTGGTGGAGGTGGTGGAGGTGAAGGCGCGGCCGCGGGCCGGGCCGCTGAGGGGAGGCGCGCGGCGAGGCCGGCCTCCCTCGGCGGGGACGAGGCCTTGCCCGTGCGGGGCCGCTGGGACGGGAGCCGGCAGGGCCCCGCCCTTCCACCGGGCGGGCGGGGGGAGCGGAGCGGGCGAGCCTCCCCGCCGGCCCTGCCGTGACAGATGGGCCGCGGGCTGCCTGGGCCGCCCCTCCTCCTCCTCCCCCCCTCCTCCTTCTCCCCGCCTTGCCCGGGGGAGGTGGGGAGGAAGGCGGTGAGTGTGCGCCGAGGGCAGGTCGCTGCCCCCCCCCCAGCCTTCCTCTTCCCGCGGCTGCCGGTGAAGCAGGTGTGTGGCACCCCCCCCTCCCCTGAACGCACCTGGGCGCCAAATGCCGCTAGCCTTGTGCTCCTCTGTGAGGAGAAACTGCCCTTGCTGCCGGTTTTTGCTTCTCTCGGAGCTGCGGGGCATTGCCTCCGCCTGCCGAGGACGTCCCCGGGGTGAGGCTTTCGGCAATAAAACGAAACCGTCCCTGGGTGAACCCCCTGACTTGGCGGGATTGAGGAGGAGGTCAGAAACAAAGCCTGGGTAGCACGTTCTATTCTGCCTAGCAGTGGGAGATTTGACTGTGGCCTCCTTGTCCCTCCCTGGGCTGTTCAGTTAAATCCCGGCCTTGGCTTGGCGCGGGTGTCTGTCCTCCCCTGGTGTCCTTGAGGACAAGGATCGTGTGGGTGGACTGGCAGGGTCTGCCCTGGAAACTTCTGCCAATTTAGTAACGTTTTCGGGTGCAACACGTTTTAAAACAATGCTTTCAAGGTTGCTCGAGCCATAGCACAATTTAGTTTGTTCTTAGCATAGCTTGTTTGCCAAGAGAACTGTTGGTGTAGCTGCTATAGCCTCCTGTGTGTACATATATATGAATATATGCCGTTAGAACTAGAACACAAAGTCATTTTCATGCAGACAAGGGCCTGGTGAGGAGGAGCCGAGCGGTGAGATCAGCAGGGGGAGGAGCTGCCACTGGAGCAGATGACTGAGCTTTAAAATTTAACTTGATTCAGTAACACTGGTGCTCTGTGTTTTCATGAAGGGAGTGAAATAATGCCTTGGAGGACAACGTTACCACACGTGTAAAATCCTCCACTAGAGGCAATGACAGAATTGAGATACTTTCTGCTTCTCAGTCAAGTTATGTGTTCTTCAAATTACAATTCTAGTTTTGTTACTCACTGAAAGTGAGGTGATGTTATGAAGGAGGAAGGTCCTTGATTAAACAGCAGCTTGTAGTGTGTGTGATTTGACCTCTGTGTCAGCAGATGGTTTGCTTTCCAGCTACTGTACAATAATTCCAATTTTCAGACCTTGGGATAATAATCACACGGGGGTGTTTCTTTTTAACTTTTCTTGCCAGATACACAGACTGAGGTGTGCCTTTGCCCGTCGTGGAGCTGAAGCGCCATGGAGCAGTACACAGCCAACAGCAACAGTTCCACAGAGCAGATCGTTGTGCAGGCTGGGCAGATCCAGCAGCAGGTATGGGAGATGACAGCGGGTGAACTGGTGTTGCCAGGGCCCAGTTACAAATCTGTTTGTATTTCTCAGAGTTTCACAGAACCAGCAAGACGCTTCACGATACTGCCTGGCTGTGTGTGTACCTGGCTTCTGTCACCTGAGCGGTGGGCAATGGTCTGACTTGAAGTCAGAGTAAATATGTTTGAAAGAAAAACCCCAAACTTATCAAAAAATTAAATTGCAGGTGTAGAAGTTGCCAAATTTCAGTGTAGCGGGGAGTTTGCAAACTCCTAATGACATGAGGGAAGAAACAAATCCTCTCTGAAAATGGAGGAAACAGAATATTAATCCAAACAGTCACACAAGGAACAATGTAGATTTATCCCCCCCCAAATTGAAATAGGTTTTGTTCAAGCTCATAGGGGCTTTCTTCAGCTTTCTCAAAAGAAGTTTTTATTGAGCTGGTTTGGATTAGAACTACAAGTGGATCAGAATGAACACCCAGGACAGGAACTGCAACAAAATGTATAGCTTTGGATGAATTAACCCATTTTAGAAATAAGCTTCTAGTTGATGTTATAATGTGCAAATGAGTAGGGCTGGGAGTTTTTTAAGGGCTTATAGATTTTTGCTGCTGTTAAGCTTCACCTGTTCAGATACAGTGATGCATTTTCAGATGACCTATGCTGCAGCTGGATTTTTTTTGCATCTTATGTTTGTTCTAGTTCAAGGCAAGAGGAGTTTCATGATTTGTCATGCAAATAAATGAGCCACTAGATTATATTTTCACTGAGATAAGCTTTGCTTTGTCATTGGCCTGTTTGAGTGTTTGACAGCAGCGACTGGCTTCTTCCATCGAATTTAGTTGAAGTTGACTTTTTCAGTAAGAACAGGATTGTGCTTGAAGTAAAAAAATTATATATTAAGAATTATCAAAAATACCTGTTTCTAGCAGATAACCAAAGATACATTTGGTTTTATTGACACTTTGTAAGTAAAAAGGAGGTAAAAATGTACCTTGGCTTGTTTCATTTTTATTACATGCCCTTAAAGCCTGTGTTGTATTTGATGTGAAATGTTTTTTTTAAATAATTATTTTAACAGGCCTGTTGTAGTTCAGCTTTTAGTAGAGAGATGTCCTTCATCTCCCCAACGTGAACACAGTTAACACAGGTTATTTTGGGACTCTTACTAAAGAGGCTAAAGATAGAAAAGGCTTTTAGATTTAACTGCTCTTGCAACCTCTGAAGATTGTCCTTCAAGGTCAGTGGTGGGAAGACCTTGATGCAGGGGTGACACAGATGAAGCTTAGACTGTAGTCACCTGAGCTGCTGTTCTGTGCAGAAAGGAATTTATGGTCTTTATTGTGACTAACAAGTCTGACCAAAATCTGGAACCCCTTCACTGTAAGAAACCTGGGCAGTGAAGGGAGACACTAAGCAAAAAGGTAGCAGTTTAAAACACTGAAGCTGAGATTTTTAAATTCTGTAAAATAATCTCTCCTGTTCTTTGTAAATGATTTTTATTTGGGATATTGAAGCCTGTCAGTATCATACGCAGTTTTGTTGGTTTCCATTCTGAGGTTTGCTAAAATTATTCACCTTCCTTATGTTCCAAGAAGTTTAAATTCAGCCTCTTCCAGCAAAGTGTCATTGTCTCTTGTCAGAGCTGTACATTTCCATGTTTCAAGCTATTCCTGTTCCTATTCCCAGCAGCAGGGTGGTGTCACTGCTGTCCAGCTGCAGACTGAGGCCCAGGTGGCATCCGCCTCAGGCCAGCAAGTCCAGACCCTCCAGGTAGTGGTGATCTCTCTAATTGTGTTTGTGAGCACTGCATGACTCTCACCGTCGCCACATATCTAATGCTGTGTTTTTTCCAGGGTTTGAAATAGGAACAGGAAAATTTGTTAGCAGTAGAGTCCTTGCTTTCTGCTGGTTGTAGGGTTTGCCATGAAGAACATGGGGTTACAGCTTTTCCCTGGATCTCGAGTGTGTGCCAGAAACCCAGATGCATTCATGAATTCCTGCTTCTGCAATTCTGAAAGTGAATAGTTGTTGAAAGGGGAAAAAAAAAATCAAGATGAAGTAACAGTCAAGATTTCCTGTAGTTTCAGGGAGATAAGATTGCTGATCTCCACCGTGAGTAGTTCTGTGTCTTCTCTATGTGACAGAGAGACATAGAGGTGGTGGGTGATGCACCAGCTTGAAGAGTGAAGCTTCTTCATCTGATTAAAAAAAGCACCTGGGGACAATATTGGCCTCTGTGGGACTGAGAGATCCTATTTCTTATTTATGTGTGAACAGCACAGGGAAACACAGGAGAAGTAGGTATCCTAATGGTAAATACAGCCCAAATTGGAAAGAAATGCAAGGTTATTTCAAACCCTGATTTGTTTCAATGTGAAGTATTTTCTGTCTTGCAAACTTTGTTTCATTAGCTCAGCTAGGGGGCTTTTAAAGGAGTTGACAAATCCTGGATGGCTGTAGCAGTTTAGTAGCTCACTCAGTGTTTTGGTTTTGGTTTTTTTTAATTCTTCAGAGGAGGAGAGTTCCAAGAGGCTGGAACGGTGTAAAGTTGAACACAGCATTTTTTATGTTCAGATTTAAAATCTGAAAAACTGGCTGACTTGAATTGCTTGGGTCACTGTGGCCTCCTGGTCATTATCATGTGTCCTCCCTCCCTTTTTTTTCTTTTTTTTTTTTCTTTGCTTGCTCTAATACATTAACAAGAATCCTGGAATGTATCGTTTTTCTTTCTGCTTATTGGCCATCGTGCTGCTGACTCTGCTTCTCTGGGGATGACACGAGCATGCTTATCTCTCTCTCTGTTGTAATTCAAAACAAGTGCTACCGATTTTTGTTGGGGCCTCGTACGCAATAGTTACAAGGTTGAGGAACAGAACGGTGTCGCAAGGGGATTAGTGACCTGTAAAATCCCAATATCCTGCGTAGGGCATTGATCACTGAGGTTCTGTAGATGTGTCAGCGTATAATTCACTAAGGTATTTGAACTATGCAAAATAGAGGGTTTTTTAAGGTAGTTCAGTATGTGCTGAAAATCCGTGCTGCTGTTTAGCCTGGAGTTCTGCAGCAGTTGAAGAGTGAGCGTTTGCTCTTGCACATTCTGGAAATTTACAGGTAGGAAACCCAAGAACTCGGTGACTTTTTATCATGTTGTTTTGCGGTTGTTTCTAAACAACTCCGAGCGTGGTAAAGTGTGATTGAGTTCGTAAGACTCGTTTCACATGTAAGCCGTGGAGGTACAGTGTTTTCAAAGGGATATTTTGAGGAGTTTGGAGCATTAGTGAGTGAGGGTGTTTGAACAGACAGGTTTTCTCCTCACTTTTCTTTTTGTTGGCCTTTTCCCTCATGACCAGAGCCACACCTGAGCCAAGAGTCCAGACTCTTACGCTGAATTTAGAAGTTCACTGTAAGCTTTTTGGGCCAAGAAGTGGCTGCTGCTCCTTTTCTTCCACTCTTCCTTACTGAACTACATTTTGTGTTGTTACATTTATAATTTCACTTAATGCCCATGAAAAGATTCTCTAAGAAAGTCGCATGCTTTATATCGGTTAGAAAATGGAAATGTTGTAGGCATGTAATTGGAGAGAGTTGAAGCTACCTCAGAATCTCTCTGTGAGAATAGCTTATACAGAGCTCTTTCTCATTAGAAACCCCAATTAAAGATTAGTAATAGTGATGTGGATAATGAAGTTTCTTTTATTACACTTTGCTCTCGGGCTGTGCATGAAGATAGTTATTGTCTCTGGAAAACTTAGCTGTGCTTTTCATGCTTTATTGCAATTTGACTTGGAAGTTTTGGTTAGACTGCAACAGAAAAAGATAATTTACTAAATCCAGCAGCACATTGTGCAAAAAGTTTTAGAAATGAAAGATATTTGATGCTGACTGTGACCCCAGGTTAGTGAGTGTTGCTCAGGTTCTCTGGTGGTGACCAGAGAATTCAACTAGGTAAGAATTCAACCTCATGTGGCAGCCACTTTGGGTTCTGGCTTCACCTCAGCAGACTTTTTCATTGTCCTGTTTGGTTTTTTTCTCCCATTTCCCAGGTCCAGGGTCAACCCCTCATGGTCCAAGTGAGCGGAGGCCAATTGATCACATCCACGGGGCAGCCCATCATGGTGCAGGCCGTGCCGGGGGGGCAGGGTCAGACCATCATGCAGGTCCCGGTTTCTGGAACGCAGGGGCTGCAGCAGGTGAGAGAAACCCACGTTTTGTTTATGAGAAATTGCAGAGAACGAGCCGTGATGTTCCCACCTTGTCAGATAGAACCTTTGCCTCAGGGCTCTTAAATGAACTGGGCAAAGACGGGTGTTCTCCAGCTATGGGTCTGGCAGTGAACTGCGTGTTAAGAATGCAATGAAAATTCTTTGTGTATTTGATTTTCGTATTTTATGGGATGGTGCAAACCTTTAAAATGAAGTCTGTTAAAATACAGCTGGAGTTGGTTTGAGTTTTTGGTTTGTATTTTTTTTTTTAATATATTTTTATTTTAACTGGCCCCTGCAGGACAGTGGGGATCTGGTGCCTACTCAATTTATGGCTCCAAAAGAGGTGTTTTTTAAAATTTATTTAAGAAAGCTTCTTGAAAATAACTTTTATGCTTGAGTTCATCTAATAGGTGATGGCTGAAGGTGGATTTAAATGCTTCCATTGCACAGAAGGTACAACTGTAGAAGGTATAGAAGGTGGATTTTATTAGAAGCAATTATTTTGAAATATTTGTCTAAAAGACAGTTTTTAAATTTAAAGAAGAGCTCAAAGTGTGTTCCTCAAAAGCAGTGGCCTAATGAAAGTGGTCTAGTGATGTGAGAATGGGATTCAGGAATCAGGTTCAGCACAGTCCAGGAGGGCATATGATGCCTCACTGTTTTGAGAGGTTTATTTAGTGTTTATTTAAAATTTTTGTTGAAAAGCAATGTATTTTGTGTTAGGTTCTTTAAAGTCTGGTGGTTGGAGGAAAATCCATAACTGGGTTTTTAAGCACAAGCTTCGAACTGTATTCCAGTTCCTCTTTTTTAATCTAAGAAATGTTCCACGTTGGTGGAAAGACTCCTCTGCAAAACTGAAGGCAACTTTTATATGTATCCAGGAGTATTTCTCTATGCTGGGTAATTAACATCAATCTTAGTTCTCTTTTTTACTTTCAGCAGAGTATTATTACTCCTAGTTTCATGTGAATAATTTATTTCTTTTGACCATTTTATTGTGTAAGCAGTGGAGAACTGCTAGGGCATAATGACACCAGCACGATATGTCTCCTCTGTTCTGTGCGGTTATGACTGCTGTGTCACAGGAGGAATGAATTAAAAATCTTCATTTTAAAATGGAATGGGAGAAGAATCAGTGCGTGCTTTTTTTTTTTTTTCTTCTTCTTTGCAACAGTAAATCATCCTCAGAGATGGTTTGGTGATGCTGAGGCCAAGGAGGGAGAAATAAGAGGCGTAGTTAATGTTCCTTTCTGACTCTTTCTTCCACAGATTCAGTTGGTCCAGCCAGGTCAGATTCAGATTCAAGGTGGGCAGGCTGTGCAGGTACAGGGGCAGCAGGGCCAGACCCAGCAGATCATTATACAGCAGCCACAGACTGCAGTTACTGCTGGCCAGACACAGGTAACTGCACCAGCATGAAAGGGTTTTCTTGAGAGAAACAGGAAGAGAAACTTGGCAAATGACTTAAGGTGTGGTTAAGTAAAAAAAAGGGGGAAAAAATAAAAAGGGATTATTTATATTGAGGAGAACGTGAGAATAAATTTCCATCTTTTTGTAGTGTTTTCATGCATAACTCTGGGGCAGAATAAATAGATTGCATGTTTTTATCCATTGTGTTTCTGTATTTTATTGGTTCGTGGTGGTTTTTGTCTATTTGTTGAAATTTTGAAAACATGAAGTATTGCTAATTTCACACTTGCGCCATTTTGTGAAGCAGTCTAGTCATACGTGGGCTTTCTGCTGACTCTTTTGCTTAGGACCAAAATTAAATTTCTGAGCAGAATAGTTCTCTCTTTTAACATGTTCGTAGTGAGACGGGAAACCTAGAACTTGTTTCTTTCAATATTAAATACTAGACTGTTCGAAATGTGTGCTTTAGGTATTTTATCCACGGTTCAGTTGGTTTGTGCTCCATCCTATTTCTTGACGCTGGTAATAAAGCAAAAGAAATAGATGCCTGAAACACCTAAAATACCATGTGTTAATTCAGGAATTGTAAAATTTGAGAAATAAGCAGTTTGTAAAGTTTACTGTGTTCTTTGTTTTGTTTAGACCCAGCAGCAAATAGCAGTTCAAGGACAGCAGGTAGCACAAGCAGCTGAAGGGCAGACTATAGTCTATCAGCCAGTTAATGCTGATGGAACCATTCTCCAACAAGGTATGAGCTTTGGTGTGAAAAGAATCAGAATTTCACAATAACTCTTTGGGTTTTATTGCCTTGTAATTATTGTCCAAGGAAACGGGGAGTTGTGATGCTGGTAGTGCTGTGATACGATTGCTGGCGGAGCGAATGGAAGAAGATGTTTATAATATTATACAGGAATTCAGGCTCTGGTTCTTCCCTCAGAAAATAAAAAATGGCACTTTCTTTGGCAAGGACTATTAAAATAGAAACAATTGTTTGCTCTTACATACTAGAGTAGATGTTTTACCTGACCCTGGGATTACTGTGCAGATAGAAATGCCAAAGACAGGAAATATGAGGATGAGGCGAGTGGATTTAGTTACTAACTCGCAATGCTTTTTGAAATCTCTTTTGCACGTTATGGAAGGATGAATGAGTAAAGAACAGAAGTGGGACTAATGGTGTTCCCTTCTTTTTGTGTGCGTGTTTTTGGTTTGGTTTTTTTTTTTTCTTCTTTTGTGTTTTATTTTCTTAAAGTTACAGTCCCTGTTACAGGCATGATCACCATTCCAGCAGCCAGTCTGGCTGGAGCGCAAATTGTCCAAACGGGAGCCAACACCAACACGACCAGCAGTGGACAAGGGACTGTCACCGTGACGCTGCCAGTTGCTGGAAACGTTGTCAATTCAGGGGGAATGGTCATGGTACGTATTTAACTTCCCTTTGATATTTTTAAAGGTTGAGGTTTAGGACGCAACAAAGTGTTTTCTGAGATTCATGTCACCTGAATATGGTCACACTTCTCAGGAGCTACCATTAGTTTCAAGTTTAAACGCTACAAGATTTCTGTTGTAATGGCCTGTGTCCTATTGTGACCTGTGTATTCCGTACTTTGTTTTTTCCCCCAGCAGGTTACTGAGTCAGGAATCTAGAAATTGAAATTCAAAATAAGCTGTTAACTCCTAACAGAGCTTTAAAAAGATTGACTTGACTGTCACGTTTCTTGAGGATCCCCAAGTATTTGTTTTTCTGGTTCATAATGGCCTCAAGTTGGTCCAGGGGAGGTTCAGATTGGATAGCAGGAACAAGTTTTACACCGAAAGGGTTATTAAGCCTGGGAATGGGCTGCCCAGGGAAGGGGTTTAGGCAACATCCCTGGAGGTATTTAAAAGCCAGCTTGACATAGTGCTTGGTGACATGGTTTAGTGATGTTTTTTTATCAGACTTAGGCTGATGGTTGGACTAGATGATCTTAAAGGTCCCTTCCAACCTGGCCAATTCTGTGATTCTATAAGAGGGCTTTTCTGCCAGTTCTTTATAGCGTGATGCCTTTGGACTTGAATTTCATTTTGTCCCCACTAAGTGGCAGCAGCTCTGCAAGTAATATTTGCTTAAGAAATGCTCTGAAATTATCATATAAATTAAATAAGTGATAACCAAAAAGAAAGGGAAGCAGTGGGCATGTCCTCTATGCTTAATTGTACAAGAAGCAGTATCATGGTCATAGAATTATATATGGTATTGAAATTTTACTATAATCAGAAAAAAAAATGAAGCACGACTGATATGTAATTGATTTGTTTAAATTTGTTCTGCAGTTTGAGGACAACTTTCAATTTAAGGAGGTGCATTATCTGAACAAAACCCAAACACTTCCCATTATAACATCTTTTTAATTACTTTTTTTGCATTCACTTTGTGTTCTGAGCGACAAGTACTAAGAACATACTCTCCTGTGCACAGATGGTCCCCGGAGCAGGATCGGTACCAGCTATCCAGAGGATACCTCTGCCTGGAGCAGAAATGCTGGAAGAAGAGCCCCTGTATGTAAATGCCAAGCAGTATCACCGCATCCTCAAGAGGAGACAGGCACGTGCGAAGCTTGAAGCAGAGGGAAAAATCCCCAAAGAAAGAAGGGTAAGAATAAAACTCGGATCTAATCACAGAATGACATGGGGTTGGAAGGGACCTCTGGAGATCATCCAGTCCAACCCCCTGCCAGAGCAGGGCCACCCAGAGCAGGTCCCACAGGAACGTGTCCGGCCAGGTTTTGAATGTCTCCAGAGAAGGAGACTCCACCATCTCTCTGGGCAGCCTCTTCCAGGGCTCTGCCACCCTCACAGGAAAGAAGTTCCTCCTCATGTTTAGATGGAACTTCTTATATTCAAGTTTGTGCCCGTTTCCTCTTGTCCTGTCCCTGGGCACCACTGAAAAAAGACTGGCCCCATCCTCCTGACACCCACCCTTTCAGTATTTATCGGTGTAGATCAGATCCCCCCTCAGTCTCCTCTTTGCTAGACTAAAAAGACCCAAGTCCCTCAGCCTTTCCTCATAAGAGAGATGCTCCAGGCCCATCATCATCGTTGTGGTCCTCTGCTGTCCCCTCTCCAGCAGTTTCCTGTCCTGCTTGGACTGGGGAGCCCAGAACTTGTCCCAGTGCTCCAGATGGGACCTCACCAGGGCAGACTAAAGGGTCAGATAACCTCATAACCTCCCTCAACCTGCTGGTCACACTCTGCGTCAGAAGATGCCCCCCGGGATGCCATTGGCCTTCTTGGCCACAAGGGCCCATTGCTGGCTCCTGGGCATCCTGTTGTTCACCAGGACTCACTAGTCTTTTTCCTCAGAGCTGCTCTCCAGCAGGTCATCCCCAACCTGTCCTGGTGCAGGGGGTTATTCCTCCCCAGGTGCAGCACCCTGCACTTGCCCTTGTTGAATTTCATCAGGTTCCTCTCTGCCCAACTCTCCAGCCTGTCCAGGTCTCGCTGTGTGGTGTCACGGCCTTCTGGTGTGTCAGCCACCCCTCCCAGTTTTGTCTCATCAGCAAATGTGCTGAGGGTACATTCCATCCCTAATACAGGGTTTCTCTGTGAGAAAGGCACAGAAAACCACCTGTGCTGGAAAATGAGGTTTGGAGTCTTAAAGTTCAATTTTTTTATTTTTATTTTTTTTGTTCATAAGCTACATCAGTAAGTTTTGAAGTCCCTTGGTGGCAGTCTTGCTTCCTTTGCATGCTTTTAACTGTGGGAGATGTATGGAGCTGTATTGCAAACCGACCTATAACTGTAAACACTTTCTCTTGGGGAAGGATGTGGACTGGGCAGGCTTTTCTAGCACTCGGGAGTTTCCCCCAGTGGCAGTACTGAACTGGAAATAGTGGGCTGGTCTCTCATTACCCACTTCATGTTGTTACAGAAATACCTGCATGAATCTCGGCACCGTCATGCCATGGCCAGGAAGCGGGGAGAAGGTGGACGTTTCTTCTCACCAAAGGAAAAAGACAGCCCTCATATGCAGGCGAGTAAAATTGTGGCACAACTGCCATTTTCAGTTCTTCAGAATTCACTTTAGAGGTGCCTTTGTATTGTTTTGTTTGTTGTTTTTTTTGGCTGGGCTCTGACCTTCTTTCTTCTCTGCCTTTGCATTTATGTTTCAGCCCTTGTAAAGAAACCTTCTGTCTCCCTTCTTGTAGACAGCAAGTGTCTGTTTGCCTTGAGTAATTAATTTATAATAATATTGATAGAAATGTAAAATGTATTCACTTTGTTTTGCAAACAGAGAATGCTTGTATTTGTTTGTCCTAAGAAATGTAGTCTTTTTAGCCTTTCTGGTTACATACCAGAAGTACTTACTTTCATTTTTCTTTAGGAGATGAATTAAAGGAATAGAAACCTTATCTTTCATCTGATGGAAAATTAAAAAATGTGAATATCTGATTCTTGGCTGCATGTTGATTTACATAAAAAGTACAAGACAGGTTTTCAAAGGAAGAGACACAGTAGAGTAGAACTGGCAAATTCTGTTGTTGATGAGTGCTCTAAAGCTGGAGTGGAATCCTTCCCAAATACTTGACCAGTGCTAGGTCTTCCCTGTTGCCAGAAACAAAACATTACTAGGAACAATTTAGATTTATATATCCCATTCTCTTACAGTGGCCTGTAAAACCCAGGGAAAATAGGACATGGTCAAGGGAAGGGGCAGGAGTGTCTCCTCTTGATAGTTGTGTGTGATTCCTCTGCTGTTATGGAAAAAAGTTGAAGTTACAACACGGTGTTTTGTATCTGTAGGATCCAACTCAGACCAACGAAGAAGCAATGACACAGATGATCAGAGTCTCCTAACCACTGCTTCAAGAAAAAAAGCAACTGAATGGAATTCCCATCCCTCCTGCAAGTCTGTCCTTCCCTTCCAGTCTATCAAGCAAGTCTTTCCATGGGACAATCGCTGTATCACAGCCTCCCCTTTTCTACAGAACAAACACCACGGTTTCAGTGTGTGGTTGAGATTTTAAACGCAGTTGACTCAACAAATGGGAACTTACCAACCTTCTTGGTGTATTCTTCTGATCCAGCGCAGGGATTTCAGAGTCTGCCTGCTCATGCCTTTCTTTTGTTTTTAAACATCTCTCCTGTTAAGATTGGCCGTGAGTGAGAGCGTGCCCCTGCCTCGGTGATCAGCAATAACTCTGCCGTGCTGAAGCAGGGCCAGCAAAGACCTCTTGGACTTCAGCTCTTCTGTACAGAGACATAATCCAGTTTTGAGCCACCAGCTCTGGCCTGGCTGCACCACGGTACTTTGTTTTCCCAGCAGAGACTTGTTATTTACATCCACTCCTTACACCTTCAGGATTTATTGTCAGCTGAACCGGTCCCTGTCATTGCGTCTGCGCTTCTGAAACTGGCGGAAACTGAAGGGGGTTCTTTTTCAGTTCTACCTTGTCAAATATGTAAACAGCAAGCTCTTCCCTGGGAAAACTTCAGCCATCCAGTCACGATGATAGAAATATTGCAAGATGATTGCAGGACTTGATATATTGTATATCCGTTCCAAGAAGGAAGAGGGTAATGTGAGGATAAGGATTTAATTAGGAAAAGCAATGTCTGGGTGTTTTTTGGCATGTTTATTGCCAGTAGTTGTTGCTTTAGAAGAAAGTGGATGCTAGTATGAAAAGGATTAGAACTTCTAATTGAATCTCTTCCAAAGGATTTTGTTGGGGTTTTTTTAATCTTCCTAACCTGCCAGTCCACTGCACGGTTCCTCCAACAGACATAAAATCTGTGATCTCAGACTGATAGCACTTGACTGTCTTTGGGATGGTGTTTCTTGATGCCTGTTGTAAATTGGTTCCACAGTTCTCTTGTTCTACACAGTGAGAGATTGTTTCATGACAGCAGAAGCGTAGGGCAGCTCTCCTCAGCTCATCCCCATGTAACTGAAGGACTGTTAGACAAATGAAGGCAGATATTGATGAACCTTTCAGGCTTTTTATAGACTGTTCTCTTTAAATAAAAAAAAGTGGCACTTAATGAAGGAGAAGTACTTACATTTAAAAAAAAATCATTATTTCATGAGCTATAGCTGGCTTCTGGCTGAGTATCTTGACAAAACATATCTTGATCTTTAATTCCATAGCTCATTACAGATTTAAGCTTGCTCCATTATTACTAATTTGAAGTTTGGTGATGGAAGCTGTAGTTCATAAGCATTTTAACAGTTGGTACTTGCGTCTTTCCATTACAGGTTTTCTGTGTATCACCTGTGCACTATAGTGCCATCTCTTCCAATTTTTGTGTTCTGTAAAACATAAAACTGCACCGTGGCAGTTAAAGGTGGGATTGGAAATCCAGCCAGGTGGTGTTGCTGGGGGAGGAGATAACAAGAGTGAATAGGTAAAGTAGCAGGTGAGGTGTTTCTGAAGAAAGCATCCAAGGATGGGGAGAGACTGGTTTAAATTCAGTGAACTCTTTTTTTTTATATTCACTTGAAAACAAAGGAAATGAAACTTGAAAAATACAACCTATGTTATCTCCCTTACATGTTTTCCCCATTTACTGAAAGCCTATGAATAAATGCAAAATGGGGGACAAATTAGCAAGTTGTAGACAACTGGGAGGATACAAAACTACACAGCCTTGAAAATCCTATTTATTTGGATAAAGGAAAAAAATACTAGACCGAAGAGTATGAGAAGATGGGAAGGAGTGCAAGAGAGGAGGCAGCAGAAACGTGGAGAATTGTTAGATTCTACATTGCCACTGGGCAATCCTGGAGGAAGAGCACCCCTGTCTGGAGACTAAGGATGACAAGGTTTAGGTCAGGTGTCTGTGGAGTCACACAGCAAAGAAGAAATGCAGGTTTGGTGTATGTAGTTAGGCAGCTGGATTTTCTAAATTGAGTTTGGTTCATTTTCTTTCTGAATTTTTAGTTCCATGTTCTTACTGCAGCTGACAATGGTGAGAAAGAAACGGTTCAACACTGCGGCTCTGGGAGGAGATGGCCTAGTTCTTGACATGCAAATAAACCTTTCTTTTGACTTTGTCTTAAATTATAAGAGTAATCCAACTCTCTGCTCACAAATCTTAAACTAGGTTATTTTTTTTCTAATGATCCAAAAGGCATTTGCTTACCTCAGTTGTGTGGATGGCATCTTTGGTGCCTTTGGTTGCTTCCGCCTTAAAATACTTGGCTGATCAGAGCATGGTGCTTATGTTCTTCAGTTGGCAACTACGAAATCCTCACCAAGCATTTCTTGTGAGGTCACCCATTTCAGGAAATATGTAGCTCTCTTTTAGTGAAGGAGTAATGAAACACTTGCTTTAGTTGACTTCGCAGCATTATTGTAAATAGATATATTTTTTTGTAGATCATCTGTACATTTTGTCAGTGGTGGAGGAGTATTTCTGTGCTGGAGTAATTCAGCTTCTCTGTAACATCTCTGCTCTTCAGCTGATAGCTCAGCTCTGGAGAAACCCCTCTGGAAGTTGGAGGTTAGGGAAGCAAGATTATTGCTCTGACATAGGTATTATTTTTAATGAGTAATTACTTCTTTTCTTAAAGAACTTGTAAACTTATTTCAGACATCTAGAACTTTTTTTCCCCAATAAGCCCTTCATATCTAGGTTCTCTGATCCGTTGTTGTAGAATGTGTATTAAGACCTATGGATTTGTGTTACGTAGAAAGTCTTATTGTTAATACTTTAAATAGTGATGTGCAAGCCTGAGTGCTACTGTCATATTTTTTTCATTTGCTTTGGGTTATGTGTATTCACTTCTAAAAGTAGTGTTTGCTTGGTGAGATTGGAGTTATCGGTCAATGCCATGTTACCAAAAAAAGTCTGCTTTATTTTCCTGGGAAAATTTGTTAAATTGGAGATGTCATCGAGTTCAAAGCCCTCTAGTAATTATATGAGCATTCTATGTGGATTGGCTACACTTGAGCAAAAACTCCACTTTGGGAGCACATAAAAGCGTGGATGAGGATAAAAGAAAGGGTTTGGGGAGAAGGAGAAACATGGAGGATTGACCCGGAGAGCACTGGAGCCAGGAACCGATCAAAACCCAGTTTTATCTGAGTGTAAAGAATGGGATGTGGAAAATGGTCTTCAAGTGATGCTAAATGGCTTTAAAGCTTTGCATGTGAAAAAGGGGCG